AGACACCTTTTGCACATTTTGAAAATCAGATTCATGACAAAGTCTATATTAGGCTTTGCATGCCACAGGTTCATCTCCCACTGAGAATAGAAGCACTTTTGTGTAGCATTTCTAAGTGTTGACTGTGTGTGTGTATATATGTTTGTGTTTGTATGTGTGTGTGTGTTTGTGTGTGTGTGTTTGTGTGTGTGCCAGGGGAGATGTACTGCATCAATGTTAGAGACTCTACCTCCTGGGAAACTTTATTGAGCACTTAAGTGCTTCTGGTGTCCAAATACCTTAAAGGTGTTAGTCCTTTTTGTCTATTTTTGCACCCTTGGGTTAAAAGGGAATTATTGCTACAACAGCTTCTTAAAGTGACCGTGCAAAATGTGTCTGATAGGAATACAAATGAAGCTGTATTTCATAGAGTACATTTGGCTGAAGAGTGAAGTGTGTTGGCTTACTGTTTTATGGCAGAAGAGATTACGCTTTTTCATTATCTGTAGACAGAGACGTATCATTTCATTATTCATTAAGTAGTATGCAAAATACATTTAAAGGAATGTGGTTCAAAAGTTGAATAAATTGCAAGGTCATGCAATATTAAAAAAGAACATATGTTGGCTTTTAATACTTGCTTTAATATACTATAATAATAATTATTATCCGTTTTAATGTAATACCACACCAGAGGCAAATCAAATCTGTGACTTAAAAGCTCAGCCAGATACTGTCTGTCTGTCTGTCCTCTGTTTTTGTTTTTGTCCTCTATCATACTCAAAATATTCATCCAAATCTTGGTTTTAATCATATAATCACAGCGTTTGATTTTGTTGGGTTTATACACATTTAAGGAACTGGTTGCAAGTATTCAAAGACCTTTAACTTATTGTCATGTAGCAATTTGTATGCAAGACGTTTTTTATATAATTTAGTTGTCCTATCATCACACACACAAGTCATGTCATATACAGATCACTCAGGGTAGAACATATACAAATAAAAAAGGGAAACTGTACGCCGTCTGTGTACACATCCATCCAGCTGTGTAGATATCCATCCAGCTGTGTCCCCGTGACTCTTCCTCTGCTCGCTGTCTCCTCTTCCTCCTCTGGGCTGATAATCAGACAGCTCCTCTGAAGCCCCCATTGTCTGCACACACTGCCGACGTGACTCTGATACATATGAGAGCGGCTTAGCATTGTGAATGCAGCTCAGCTTTCTGGAGGTTGACCTTTTTCCATGGATTAATAGGTTTTATGCTTGCTGCATTAATAAACAATGTCTTGGTTTCCACAGTAGGGTAGTGAGCCGTCACTCTGCATGGTAATGTGCGTCCCCCTCCCCAGATTTGTTTGCTCTCACCTCCTTTTAGATTACGCTATGAAATCACAATTGTGGTTCTTTCCAAAATGATGTTTGTTTCAGATTGACTTCCTTTGCTCGCTTGTCTTTAAAAGCCTATTCACTCTTTTTATTTCAAACTCCCACTCCCTCCATCTGTCTCTATCCATTTGCCTCTTTTTCATGTGTTATTTTTCAGTGGAAACTGTATTCCTGCCCCTTCTTCTCAACCACATTAGTTCATCTATTTTTCCTTTGCCGTGCTTTTACGTGATTGTTCATCTTTTCCTTTTTGTCTCTGTCGCTGTCTTTTTGCCTTTTTGACTGGGGCTGATTATGTGGGGCTGAGCAGGTTTGGCCCTCACGCTGTCTGTGGCCAAGGTCAATTATGGCCTTCGCTTCCCGAGCAGAGAGCCACTGATGGGGAGCGCCGGGCGGGAGACCGAGGGGGAAGAAAATCAACCGTTTGGTGCCTCGAAAATTATTAGATTTTCCTCTGGTGTGAAAGCGTGCACTGTGTCCGAGCCTCACTCTCCTTTTGCTATGATTTCATCTATATTTTTCCCAAAATATTATTATAACTTGGGTAAAATTATATGGCAAAAACTACCTTTTTATTTGTATTTAGGAACACAACAGGGATGCCAAGTTGATATTGACATACCATCAACCAACTAGGTTGTTATGTCAAACTTTTTACTAATTGCTTATTTACACATCCAACAATTCTTGACATACGAGTGAAGCCTTTTAATCTCAAAAGAAAAACAATGACAGAAGGAAAGAATAAGTCTTGTTTAGACACATAAAGGAGGAACATGATAAAAGCATTCAGCTTGTCATTGACATTTGACACACTTAAAATGCAATCAACAAACAATGTGTCTGAATTCAGCTGCCTTCACTGCTCTGATCTTCAAATCAAGCTGATTATGGTGACTGACATCAAGCATGCTTCCACAAACAAACCACCTCCACTTGATCTGCCTCCGTAAACAAAGAGACATTTTTTGTGCATTTGTGCGAAGGCGTTTGATTAGCCACAATTACGGCCTTGCCACCAGCTTGTATGATTAGTTTGACTCGAGGCTGTTTTGTGTGTGCCGTGTAAGTAATCAGCGCTGGGCCGTTCCTGGACCGGCATAGAAATGTTGTGTCTAATTACAGCAGCCAACCAAACTGCGGTGGCGCTCACCTGGCGAGGAAAAAGTATAATTAATTACCTCATTGAGGGAACTCAGGGAACCATGAAGGTAGAACTGTTTGCCTTCTAATCGGCTCTGCAACGGAGTTTGCTTCAGCATGAAAAGAGCATGTTTGAACATCCTTTCAGAGAAAAAAAGGTTGTTCGGTTTAACAAATAAATCAGTGTAATTAGGACATTTGTTCTGTGTTGTTTGCTTTGAAATCACCCATTTTACAATATCAAGATGTATGTTCTGTGTACAGTACACATATAATATGATGTCCTCTATCCACACAGGACACAGACCTCCCTTTTCTGACACCTTTACCATTATAAGTAGCCTTCTGATAAGCTGCTGCTTGCAGATGTCACACAATACATCTTAATGTGAGCGATAAAATGAATAACGATGGGGACAGAACCTGTGCATACTCCAGAGGGAATGTTTATTTATCTGATATTAAGCATGCCAGGCAGACTCGTGCTCAGGGTTTTATTATTTAAGGCTCTGCTTTCATTGCCTCAGTCTGCTGCGTCTCTGCCTATCATCGGATTGCTCCGCTCAGCTGTTGTGGCCTGCGACGGAAGCAGTATTAATAGTTCTGATCCTAATCCTTACATTTGCCAGTAGAATAGGATGTATTAATGTAATCGCTGGCGAGACACACCAAATTCAGGATGTGGGATATACCCAACACACAGCTCACATACAACAGACCTCCACTCTGACCTCTCAGGGCCTGTTTTCACTGTTTCTCACTGAAATTGCAATGTGAGTGAAAACCTAGCTGTTGTTATGCATCAGGCGTTTGTGCCTTCTACTAAAAAATGCCCTTGAGTCTTCAATCAAGGATAGAGAGGGCACTTTAAATACAGTCGGGGGCTTCTCAGCTTCATTACGGTTCATCCCATTCCCAAGTGTCTCTCCGCTCCTTCCTGCTCAGCTCTGCTTTCAGCTAAATACTGTCTGGAGGATAAGCTCTGACTAGAATAATTCACCAAAGGGCTAATTACACCATAATCATGGCATGGTGTATCCTGTGTTCAACACTGAGTATTTGGCACATAAATAACATCTTGTTAAGCTACAGTACAGGAGATTTAGACTCTTCTCAACGGACGGCCATGTTGTTCAGCCTGTCCACTTCTTCGGTTTGGATGGTAATTTCTCAACATTTTAATTTATTACCATGAAATTAAATACAGGTGCCAGGAGGATACATCTCAGTGACTATGCTGTGCTTGTGCAGCCTCACAAAGCCGCTAGTGTGGCTGTATAGTCATTGTCAGTTTAGAGAAATCAGTTTTGAGACATTGACACAGACTAGAACCATATGTTTAGCAAAATCTCCATCCACATTAACCAATAGGAATGAAACACAGCTGAAAAAAATAGGAACAAATAGAAAGACTTTCCATAAGGTTCCTTATTTTAGATATTCTTCGTTAGGGACCCAGAACTAAGGTTGGAAGATGACACCAGATACAACAAAAGCACCTCAAACAATCCATACTGAATGTTGATTATTTCCGCTGAATATATTAAAGTATTCCTTATTTCGTGTCGGTCCATAATCTTCATTAAGGCTTCAAACCTTGACAGCCCACCACTTGCGGGATGCATCAGAGGATTTTTACTCGTATACTGTCAGTAGTTCTATGAGCCAGCTCAGTGTGAACTGCTCACAACAGATGTGGTGAACTCTCCATTGTGATGAGTAGGCTTTGATTAATACACCTCGATGAATGCCTTTATTTTTAGACTGGCAGGGCGGACAATGTGGAAACGCTTTTTATTACCCTTCTGCTTTGGAGATGAATGGGCAACAGCAGAGAGAGATGTGAAGCCTCAGTGATCATTTGTCACCGCCAGATTGAGGTGTAATGGGGGATTCACTTGATTAGTTCCATCATTATTTTTTCAAAGTTCAGAAGTTAGTCATAGGCAGATTTGTAGAAGGATCTCATTTGTGTTTTACCAATTACATTTTTTTAAATAAGGAGTCTTCCGGTAGACATGTGGGGGGGAAACAGAGCTGATATTACCCGTGCTGAGGTGCTGGGGTCATGCCTAACGATATATATTTTCTGACTGGAACATGAGTTAATTGACTAAACGAGTGACCCCACATCTGATGTCAAGGTTAAGGCCAAGAGGAGAATGGGAGTTGCATTTCACCAGAACAGGTCATTAGGCTTGGCTTGAGACATGATTATAGCGAGATAAACTCTGCAGCGTTAATCCTTTGAATGACAGGTGAAGGTATAAAGTCCGTTTCACCTGGCAAAGGAGTTTCTGTGACCTCCATAAAAGTTCAACTATGAATTATGAATCTGTTTCATTCTTGCATAATGTGAACCTTGCATTTTTAATGTGAGTCCACAGGAATGCCTACCACATGTTATATTCAAATGAAATCCTCCATGTATTGCGAGGGTGTGAAAGAGCCTATTATAATCCGTCTGGTGCTTGTGTCTGTCTCTGCAGGAACTCTTTACAGCGGAGTGCAAGTTCAAAGAGTCGGTGTTTGAGAACTACTATGTGATCTACTCGTCCATGTTGTACAGACAACAGGAGTCGGGGAGAGCTTGGTTCCTAGGGCTCAATAAAGACGGCCAAGCTATGAAGGGGAATCGGGTGAAAAAAACCAAACCAGCTGCTCACTTCCTGCCCAAGCCATTAGAAGGTATGTACTGTGATTACAACTGGATAGCAACATTACAACTGCATCGTTAGGATTAGTTGGAAAAATGTTTCTGATGAGGTAGTCATACCTAATCTTAAGAGCTAATCTTTTGTTTTAGAACAAAATGATATTACAATGTTAAGGTATTCTATTTTCAGTATGCATGAATAGATACGTTGATATGTTATTTAATTTTTTTCATCAACACATTTCATGCACTGTAGTTGGCAGTACACCACTCTGCTGCTGCACATGCTCACTAGAGCAACACATTTGTACTAATCCAGGGAAAGTTAGTCCCCTTTTAATACGCTATTTCCTCATGTTTGTGTATCATTTGCTAAAACCTAAAGTGCCCAGCTGTGATATGAAATTACTGAGCCTTTAAATAAACAAAACATTAAATATCCTTTAATGATCTTCATTAGGAACCAATAAACTAGGGGCAAATTAAGAGATTAGCAAACACATTATTAGTTTCCACCTCTTAATGAGTTTTGTTGACATTAGGAAAAAAATACTGAATATCACCAGATTTATCCGTTAAAGGGTCATGTGTAGCTGTGCTAGGTGGATGAAAACCTTCCCGAACAAAACTCTGAGATTGATTTATCATATTTAAGGAAAACAAAAGCATAGCTGACAGTTCAGGCCGTTTGAAAAAGGAGAAAGTCAGATAACAAAAAAACGAACAAAAAAAAGATGGTGATTGCAGTATTAAAACATTAATTTACAGATTTCAGTTTAGTTTTTACATACTTCCTCATTTTGCCTTATTAGTACCAGAAGGGGTTTATCAGCTTTCACATAGCAAAACACATTGTCAGTGTAAACAACAGTGTGTTATTTCAGTAGGAAACATAACCTTTAGCTGGAGACATTAATACATATCGATGTATTTGGGTGAAAAACAACCAAAACTGAAAATAACGAGCATGACTGCCTTTGTCACATAACATGATGGATGCCTTAGACTATAAATATGGTACAACATCGTGAAATATCTACTTTTTTGGCATTGTGCTGATCCTCTGTTTTGCTGCTGACAGGATACAGTGTAGGAAGCCGGGCAGCTCACTATGAAATGTTGATGGTCCAGCAGATGCCACCATCACTCTTGTCAGCTATCAGCCTGATTGCTTCCCATCACTTTACCATGGAATCAAATTGAAGTGTCCTGTCAAGACAGCTGTAGTGTAGTGGCAGTAAAGTGGAGGATAATGAGATGCATTTCTTTTTAGTTGGAGAAGCATGTGCGTATTCAGAATCAGCACTGATAGAGACAGAAGCAGGTCAGGATGGTGAAATAATGGCCAAAGGCAACAAATGTATCAGCATCTATAATTTGGAAGACTTTTTTTCTGTCTGTTTAGCAACCTTTTAAAAAGTACACAACAGCAAGTATTGTTAGGGGATAGATGCCCAGTAAACCGTTTTAGACAGGTACACTCCAGAGAAGTTGGTGTTAACATATCTTGTCTCTTTGCCTTCTTTCCTTCTCCTCTGCTCCTCCAGTTGCCATGTACAGAGAGCCATCGTTGCATGATGTTGGAGAGACAGTGCCCAAGACAGCAGTTCCTCCCAGTAAAAGCACAACTGAGCCGGCAGTGATGAACGGAGGTAAACCTGTAAGCAAGCCCGACAAGCCCCCCACATAGCCACACCTGACTCAGTGTGTGTGGAGGGGGGGGGGGGGGACTTGACGGAGGCAGGGCTTTTCCCGACTAGACTCCAAACCCTCTTTCTTCTGTGGATCCGATCCAGGCAAACCGTCCTTCCTTTCTTCTCTTGCTCCCTCTTCCCTTCTTCTCCGCCTCGCCCTCCCTTTCTCCGGCTGTCTCATCACGGGCGCATGGATTCTGAGGCGGCTGAGTTTCTCCAGCACAGGAGGGAAGAGGACCTCTGAATATGGAATGCCTTTTAGATTCCTCTGAAACTGTGAGAATTCATGTGAATAACACGTGTTTCACACCCACGCTAGTGGTACTTTGCTTGCTGACAGTTCATTCAAGAAACCCCCCCCCCCCCCCCCCCCCTCCTATAATGCCCTGTTGCAGCAGTCTGTGTACCTTCAGATCTATTTTCTATACCACAGTTCACCAGCTATGTTCTGGGATAGAGACTGTATAGATAGAGTAAATAATAGGACTGTCGTCCTCTATTTTTTACCAGTATGTTCCCTTCTCCCTCTCTTTCTATCTCTAGTCACACACTTTTCTCTTTGTCAAGTAACCTAGAAAAGATAAAAACATTTTGCAAGGGAGTTGTGTGATTTTCTAAGAAACACATTCACACAGATGTGGCATAAAAACATCCATATATACAAAGACACAATCCACATTTTTGTCTTGCCTCCAACATGCACACATACATACAGACACAAAGTTTGTTGGGAAAAAATATGTTGCTTTTTAAGGCTGATAAGAACACGCTGGAGGCTGGCAGATAGCTCCTGTAATCATAGTTGATGAAGTGCTAATTACCGCCACTGCAATCAATGCGAGAACTCCCAACACACATACAAACACACACGCATTTATACACAGATGTGTGTGTGGGTGGGAGAGCGCTGTAAGGAATGGTGTATACATATCACTATCTAAGTCCCACCAGCGGTTCAGTCCGCCTTCTCTGGTAAGTAGAAACCTGAAGTCTATTTTTCTTTAATCTTATTTCAGAGCGTGGGCTCTAGGAATATCTCTAGGCCTTGTAGGCCTCTGTCCCTCACTCACTGACTTCTTTGGACTAAGAGGCAAGGCTTGTGGCTTTGACCCAGATGGTCTATAACTGCAGCACTGGCAGCCATCTTATGGCAGAGTCTACCTAAAGCCAGAAAACAACATGGCTGAAAACCAGTAGGCGACATTTATCCTGGCTGCATCCCTATTTGGTTCAAACTAAAGCATGGGCAAGGTTAATATTGTGTTCTCTCTTCTAGCAGCAGTTATCCAAGAGATGGCTTATATTGTAACATTTTCACTGTATAAAACTTAGGGAAAATGACTATTATAAATCATAACTTTTTAAATGACTAGATATTGTTATTATAATTATTATTATTATGAGAGGATTTGTCTCCTAGCTCAGCATGCAGAGTCCAGTATCATCTTGGCCGATCACGTGCCTGTTTGGACTTTGATTCTCGGCATGCAAAAACAGGTTCCCAGTCCCCACTGGGCCAAAGGTGCCTCACACACCCAATACATCCATGTAGAGGACACGTAGCATTACCCATCGACAAACCACACTCAGATGTATTCATCCTGAAATGACCAAAGTCTTTTTTCATCCCAAGACGAACTGATTCTTTACAAGAGAAAAATCTGATTCAATTCATTGAAGCTTTCACTGTGATAGCATTTGTTCGGAACAAACCAACTCCGCTCAGACCCCCAGGGGTCTTTGACTGATGTCATTTTAGAGAAATACGTATACCTTGAATTAATCACATGCATGTATTTTCTATAAGGATTACGGTAAGGGTTTAATTCTTCCCTCTATGTAAGCTGAAGAGTACTAAGGTTCAGTGAGAGTTGAATGGGCATGTTGTAGGGTACAGCACACACTCACAGCTACTCTGAAGGTAACCCATTTTCTGTTTTGCATTTTTCTTCATGACTGTTAGCAGTTTATCAAAGCTCTATCTGATCAATTTATAACATTTGTCTTGCTTTAATGATTTCTCCTAATGGTTTTGTTAGACAAGATTTAGAATATGAGGTAGATTGTTGCTGCTGTGTGCTGCTAAAACTCATCATATTACATACATTGATTTGGTGAATATCATTTTTCGGAGTTTATTGGGATTACACATGATCATTTCTTATTACAGCACATCAAAGCACATTAGTTAGGATTCAATATTTGTCTGGACAAAGCTGTTAATAACAAATATGACGTAGTATACACACAGGAGCTGAAAAACCACTGTAGTCGTGTTTGGGGATGATATTGTGTCCTCATTACAGCCAATCATCCTCGACTCTTACAAACTCTACATGCTGGGCTGGCTGCTGCTCCAGCCTTGCCCTCCAGATAACTGGCTCCTCCAAGGCTGACTTTATTTTTGTAAATGACCGGTGTGTAAATGTACAACTCTGTTTGGATCTCTGTAGCCCACCGTTTTTTGGTTAGTCCTTATTTTTTTCTTGTATACGGGTTGTGCGTGATGTCGTGTCCTGATACCGCTCACATTTGCTTTGTTCCCCCTCTCGATGTGTTGCAAGAATATTCTAACAAATTTGGTTTCTTTGTGGCCTCTGTTATCAAACCTCTTATTTTGTGTGTTGTCCCATCTGTTGCATGGGGAGAGGATGGCATTGATGAACTGCATGTAGTAGGCTATGTCTATCGAGAACTGTTGGTATGTACCGCTAATTTTACATACATATATGCAACGAGTTTGTCTACACTATACAGTTTGTGTTTGTTGTATACAACATATACAACATATTGAATAAAAATATTTATATAAAGGTGTACTGTAATGTCAGTAACATACTTAATGCAATATAGTGTGCAGTATATTATTGCACCAGTCATCTTTTGAGGGGGCAAAGAAAACAGAAGGGTTGGCTAGTTTAAGCATGAAAAAGGCCAAAGTAGAATTTACATTAAATTTTCTTTGTGACTTCTTATCGGTCTTCTTTTCAAGCGGTGACTGAGCTCTTGTGTCAATGCATCTCTCATCCCCTGATGCTTTTCTTTGAAGTGACATGGACATCCAGCATGCCACACCTGAACTATGTATGCCCTCTCTTGGTTTCCTCCACTTAGAATTTAACCTTGTCACTAGTGTGTGTTGAGTGAGGAGTGTCCATCACGTACCTTCAGTACAGTGTGGCTGTCATGGCAGGTTGTTTGGTTTGATTTCCCGTTGGAGAAGAATAGGCACTATTAAAATTATTTATTTTCAACAAAAAAAAATATACCATTGCAAGTATGCCCATTGGAGTTATGTCATGTTATAACAAATTTGTAACCATGTATGATTAAGGTCTTCGCATTGTTTTCCATGCAAAATGTTGTGTCATGCGGCACATTAATGTTTTATTATTAAAAATAAATAAAAACCTCAAACAGTAACTCCTGCCTCGAGCTTTCCTGTGAACTTTCAGTCCAATTTTGGAACAACACCCCCCTCTGTACTGACTTACATTAGCACCCATTGTTTTGAACATATTGCAAAAATGTCACTTTAATAATTACATTTGTCATACTGTAGCTGCATTCCTACATTTAAAAAAACAATTATACATTAGGCTGTTTTGGAATCATATTACAGATTACATGGCAATATGTTTATTTTACACCTACAATGCTCCGTTTTATAAGGATCCTTTGTAACCAGTACAATCAAATATTGTATGTTAATGATATGCAGAATTACATCCATGTTTAGTTCGTTCCTCTTCCTGCTCCAATGGTTTTCCTGGGCGGTGCTCCTGGTCGCTCCGGGCAGCCAGGCCTCCTGTCTCCTCACAGCAGTGTCCACCCCCCCCCCCCCTCAGTACTCAGCTCCCAGCCAGATCTCACAAGCATTCCCCATCCAGCCGTCCCAGCACTCACAGTTGCCGCAGTTGCACAATCCATTCCCTGTGAGAAAATGTGAGAAGAAAAGCTGTGAATTAAGAGCTGTGCCATCATGCCTGACCTTTTAACAAGGTTCCTCTTTTCACACCCTGCTTCCCAGGGTGCAGCGCTCTGCTGGGGGACTGAGGTGGACTACACCGCTCAGGACAGTTAGTCGTTTTTCACTTCTTTTGCCCACACAGCAGAGGAGAAACTCTGGTTTAATTAAGAAGAAAAGGCCTTTATATGTAAATATTCACCACATATATAAATATATATCTCCAAATCCAATATGTGACTTTCCTTTATTCATCTGTGGAGGTTATACAATACATTTAGACAGCTCGAAAAGGATGCAGCAACCAATGATTATTGTATATCCATAGAAAAGGAAGAGTTATTGATGTATCAGAAGGAGTTGGGGGTGGATTAAGGAGTATACTACTGACTTTAACATAATAGTCCCATAACCCCGCCCACTTTACTCACACTTGGATTAGGACTACTGTTTATGTTTTTTTAGTTTTCTTTGTACTGTTTCTGTTTCTGATTTTATGTAAAGCGTCTTTGAGCACCAGGAAAAGCGCCATACAAATTAATTGCATTATTATTATAACCGTTCCCGAACCTTAAAGTGGCTTTAGAGGCATCAGCTTCACAACCAAAGGGGAGTTAGATTGTGATCCTATTCAATGTTGAACTGTCTTCCCTTTCATTTGGTTATAAAGATGCCCAGAATGGCATAACACCATACTCTGAATGTGTTATAATCCCGTTGCCCCAGGCTCTCCACAAACTCCCTGAGCTGTCAGACAGAGGAAATCAGAGGAGGACTCCTGCTGGCCTCCTGTCTCACAGCTGAAAAGATGTATACACTGCAAAAATCACTGTGGGAGAGAAGGGAGGGGTCTGAGGAGGGAGAATTGGTGATGGACAAAAAAGTTAGGTGAGAAACAGAAGGCAGCAGAGATGGGTATTAGGTGAGAAGAAGAACAATCAAGTTGGATGAGCTGTTGTTGAACTGAATCCAGACTCCTTTGCATTAAGGGATAAGGATTGCCTGGCTCTATATATATTATTCTCATGCAGGTAATCCTGTGAAAAGACCTTAGTCTGTCTTTCAACACTTTTACAACTTCTTATTCAACCACAAGCCTCACAACCCTTACTCTTAACAGGAGTGAATGGTGCATCTGCCAATTAATACAAATTCGATGTGGTAATTGATGTCCAGTTTTAGAATGTCACAAAGTACTAAGTATTAAGGTACACTTTCCGAGGTATTTTCCTTTTATTTCCCAATTGTATGCTACATTATACTTCTAATGCATTTTTTTCCTCCCCTCAATTCTTTTGGCAGCTATTATTTAAAATAGGTATAACTTTGAAATACTTCAACCATCTCTGTATAATCCACCAGGATGTTGTTTGTGGGGCTATAAATACACTAGTGTGTGTATCAATGGAAATCAAGAAACATGTCAACCATGCAGCAGTGTGGCTCAGTTTTGACAACAAAGGAGCTCTATAGCAGGGAGAAATAAGAAATATCCAGCTTAGAATACACATGTGTTTCATGGTGTTGCAGGCAAACGACCGCTTGTATCTCTTATATAAAAAAAAATCTGAAATTATCATATCCACTGCATGAAATTAACTAGCAAGCATTCCTAATACGCTGAATTTTCCACATCACTCATGGGTTGTATGTGTAATGAGAATCTACAGCTCTGACGGGTCCGTGAAATCTCCAGATGCGGAGGAATTTGTGGCAAACTTAGCACACTCATTTTAAAATAAGATTGGAAAATGACTACATCACTAGCTGCTACCTGCATATTAAAGAATCTTCATGTACAAATATTTTATATTATAAAAGTGCTCATCCATATGCTAATTTCCACACATACTCATGTCAGTTATATGGTAATCAGGAACATTTATCAGCAGTGCCACACATTTTCTTTGTTTCATCCTAGTTCTCCACATTTGTTAAGCAACGTTTCTCTGCATCCAGAACCACTTTATGCTCATTTGAATGACATTAGGCTGACATTTAGAGAAACACTTCGGAACAGCTGTCCGGATATTTATAGGCCACAGGTCAAAAAAGAATTACAAACATGTACTGAGATTTCCATTATCAGTGGGGAGAAGAAAGCTCCTGTGGATACATGGCTATATGGAGAGAAAGTGTGTGTGTGTGTGTGTGTGTGTGTGGTGTGTGTGTGTGTGTGTGTGTGTGTGTGTGTGTGTGTGTGTGTGTGTGTGTGTGTGTGTGTGTGTGTGTGTGTGTGTGTGTGTGTGTGTGTGTGTGTGTGTGCGTGCGTGCGTGCGTGCGTGCGTGCGTGCGTGCGTGCGTGCGTGCGTGCGTGCGTGCGTGCGTGCGTGTGTGTACTATATGCTTGTGTGTGTTTCCTAATGCATGTACCATAGCTATTCATCTAAATGTAAATGGTAGGAAATGTACAGATCCAAACTAATTCTGCCATATCACAGTGAGAGAAAAATATTTTGAGAAATCAGTTACTTATCTTAAACTTAGCTTAACATACTGTATGCTATTTAAAAAGGGTTACATATACTTCAATTTAAAATGTAAAAGAAAAGGTTGGGTAGGTTGATTTTTAACTGTGGCTGCTTGTTAACAGATGCTGCTAAGGTGTTGGATTGTGTGCGTGTGTCCGTCCTACGTCACCTGTGCAGATGAGGCCGTCATGTTTGTCACACTCTCGGTCGTCACACTCGCAGTACTCTCCAGACACCCACCAGTCTTGGGGACGGCAGATACATTGGCCACAGTGACAGGAACCTGCAACACACACAAGTCAGTTGTCAATTCAGTCATTCTTACACTATACCATTACTGCTTGTGTTTTAACATGCTGTGTGTGTTATTTCCTGCAAATGCATATTTCAAAGTGAGTGAGTATATCAGACGGGGGAACAGCTAACTATATACTCTTGCCGCCAGAAAACTAATCCACCTATACTTTAAACTTCCGCTCTTCCCTTTCACTGTCTATTCATCTTTCTGTGTAAAGGCAGCAGCAGGATAATAAGGCATTAAGGATGGCTAGGGGGAAACAAATCTACTAATGTTGACTTTGATCCCAAATCTCACACCCAGACATCCAGCAACTATGTTTTCTATCTCCCCAATTTCTATCAACGCACACCGGGTTACAGGAACTAATGAGAGGTGTAGGCAGACAGAAAGAGGAGCCGGGGAGAAAGTGAACTAATGTGAGGTGAGACGAGGGGAGGAGCTGAGGCGACATTGTTCTGGTGTCTGAATGAAGCGAAGCGTAGAGAATGAACATGCTCATCTTCATTTCCACACCCTGCTCTGCTCCAGAGAAGGTATTCTGTGTGGTGTCATTTAACACCTAATGATACATACAATGTAGTGACACTGTTCAGTACCCCATTATAAATGCATGGATTACTAATGTCAGACAGTTTCACAGAGAAGCAACTGATAATTAATATCCATCATCAATGAATCTGATATAGTTTTCTTTCGTATTTTATGAAGTTTTTAGTTTATTTAAAGTTAATCATTAAAGGTAGGGTAGGTACGTTTGAGAAACCGGCTCGAGATACACTTTTTGTTATATTCCATGGAATGCTCTTAACATCCCGATAGCAATGAATATCTTAAGTGCTTTGACAAAAAATCCATAAAAAAATGTCATCTGTGGAAGCCGTAGTACTGTAAAAAGCACGACCAATCATTTTAGCCGGCCCGGCTAAAATAACTGGATGGCCTACCTGCCTGTCAGCCTTCCATCTGTGCACAAACTTATCTCGTGCCCTCATTGGTCATGTGCACGTTCGTGTGTGTTGGAGGAGGGGCTCTGTAAGGAAGTGGCAGATTTTCTCCGGTTGTGTATTTTCAAATTCTAGCGATCCTTTTTTCCCAGCAGCGGGGAAATGTACAGCAATTCATTTACCCAATTCATTTACATGTTCCCAATAAATCAACTTATCTGTTAATGTAATATTATTTTGAAGCCAAAGAAAAGGCAATCTTTATCTGCCTTGAAATATTTTAATATGATATGTACTCATGTAAAAATGTGTGAAGATCAGATTTTTAAATCTACTGAAGCTGAAAATGTGTTATGAACGTGTTCTTCTTCACATAATCCTTTCCATGGTGAACGATTACAACATAAAACCAAGCACAAAGTAAATGTGTTACTTTAATCATCAAAGAGCAAGGTATTAACCTGTGCAAGATTATGGGTCCAGAGTTTAAATCTGATGTTAATCTTGTATAATCCATTGTAAAGCATTGCTATCCGTTTAATGACTTGGTAGTATAACATTTGATTGTAAAAAGTATGACTGCCAGCAAGAGAAATATGAGGTGTATAATTATGCTGTGGAAAGATATAGAGGTTTGGTTTGAATTGTTTCATACATTGATTTTGGTAGAGTCAGATTGTAAAAGAGCTCAATTAAACTATAGGTAAGGCCCATTTGATATGATCCTTAGGGGGAAGACAACTTATATAAAGAACCTCTGAAGAGAATAACTAAATTAAGTAAAAGAATACGCCAGAGCTTTCATGAAAACCGTGCCTTACAGTTGTTTTCCATACTGCTGCTCTCTTTCTCCTACATGTTTTGGTACTAACTGTCTCAACCGTCATGAAGCATTTGCCTCTTGATATGCTTATATTACATTTCCTCAGGCTTACAGGAGCATTCCTCTCTCAGTGGAAGATTATGTATCTCTCTCGGAGAACAGATGTTAAACATATTTTAAGAAAGCTTTCTCCTGTAACAGTTTGAGTGTAATAATTCACCGAAGACATCTGGATTATAGTTTTACATTTTGTTTGAATATTATGGAAAAAGAAGAAGAGAGGGATGAAGCTTTGATATATGTATCCTCAAATATACCCGATCTGGATCCTTTGACATGCTAATCATGTATTTTCTGTAATAACTAACAGATAAATGCAAGTGGGTGGGAGGCAAACACTTTACCTAAAAAATAAGTAGTGGAAAGTAACTAGGTAAAGTACATCTGCTCATGTACTGTACTAAATCATTGCACATTTGAGGTACTTTACTGTTTCCATTTCATACTATTATGTACCTCGACTCTATATATATATACCTAATACTCCACTTATCATACATTTCAATGTATTAGTTATTAGCATTTTCAATTTTACCTAACAATTTTTTTTTTTACGATTCATGATTGGTATATGAAATACCTCAAATTAGCTCCACCTTGATCAACTAAGGCAGTACATGAAATGGTATTGCATTGTATCGATTATAAATAATTTAATAGTCCGTCTGAACTAATAATACTTATGTGTTTGACATTTAAGTACATTTTAGTTTCATACTTCTGAATATATATTTTCAATGCAGCACTTGTAATTTAATATTTTCTTAGTCTGGTATTGCTATTTTCACGAAAGACCAAGTAAATAATACTTCCGCCACATTGAAAAAGGGACTTTTATGGGAACGTTTGCTTAGCAGTATTGAAAGAACATCTGGCTCACCTTTTCCACTGCACATGACGCCGTCTGAAGTCTCACAAATCTCCTTGCTCTGAACCTCGCTCAGGTCACATGACCTTGGGAACTGGCACAGCTTCCCGAACCAGCCCTCCTCGCAGATGCAGTGTCCGCACGAACAGTAACCGTAACCTGGCGGTGGAGGGCAGAAGGGCCTTCATTTAAAAAAAAAAAAAAGACAGAATATGGAGCATGGCCATGAGAAAATAGCAGAAACAGGAGGAAAAAAAAACAGATAAAGCTTTCAGATATAGCCTGAAAAGTCGAGAGAAATGCCACTGAAAAGCAGGAAGAAGGCAATAAACAAATGCAGCTAAACACAGGAAGTTGACAGAGCAGACATTGAACCTTGACAGTAATAGGCAGTACAAGCAGACAGAGCCACAGGAAGATGAGAGAGACGCAGCAGGCTTATTGTATCTTCCCCGGGGACATGAAAGGAACTGTCATCGCTGGTCTTGTCCTGTCCTTAATAAATCTAAGGATATGAAAAACAAAGAAAGGCATATACACACAAAACCAGTTACGTTTAATTGGTTTAAAAAGGCAGTTGGGTGCTTAGGTGCCTTATCCGACAGCATGGTTCTGGTTTTAACAAGCACACACACTCAGTCCCTTATACCCTTCTTCATATCCAACAGGGTCCTTGGATCACTGACAACGTGCTTACTTCAATTCAAATCAAATCATATAGAGGCAGTTGCATCATTGATTGATTCCCTTTTGTTCACATCTGGTTCCAGATGCCATGTTGAAGAGGTGCTAATGAGCAGAGCATTTTCCATCATTTTCATCATTGTTAATCCATACTGTGCTGTTTGAAATAGTTTTAGGGCTGTATTGATTCAATCACAAATGTTCAATTAATAATAGATTGTAAGATGAGGTTTAATGCTTCTTACAGTCCCATCAGCCCAAGACCCTCACATATCATTAAGTATACAAATAAAACAATCATACTTAAATATTTCACTGAGCAATGACTGAACAGATTGTAAGCCTATCAATTATTTCATTCAAAGAATTGATGCCAGATTTTTTTACATTATCAATTCAACTCAATTTCCTTATGAATACTGCTTTACACAGACAAACAAGACATACCAAGACATTTTTAAAAACATGCTTATTTGGTTTCTGACTAAGAGTTAGATGAGATAATCTGCAGATGATTAGTTTTGTTTAAATAGTTCCCTCCCTTGCTAGCCTGCACCTCTTCAAACGTCTGTATCTGATTAGTTATGCATCAAAAGGTCAGCAGCATTTGAGGGTCAAATATAATCTTCATCCAACAATCTCTCCAATCTCTCCAACGGCAGGGCTGGCGCAGAGACGTTTTACCGCTGGTCGTGTGAAGGCAGCCTAATATGTATGCTATGCCAATTAGCATATCTTCACCAGTAGTGAAATACCGGGTATCATTTGTAAGGAATTAAAGAAACAGGATATAAAAAGCTTTAGAGGCACTGGTGTATTAATAGGCAAGCTAGATTTTTCCCTGTGCTTCCTGCATTTCAACTTGAGTTAATACGCTGCTGGTTGTACTATTTCTTCATCTATACCTTACAGATATAAGTCAAATCATTTCTCTGGAAACAGTATACATTGCCATGGTTTGCGCAATCTCCAGCATGTTGAGGGACACAGCTCCCACAGGATATAGCTCAACATCAGCAATAGATCATTCTGCAGCTATAGATAATACATCAATATTAGCTGTCTTTGCTAATGATCTCTCAATCTCTATCACCCCCTCACCTGGCATCCCCACCTTCTTTTCTTATCAATTTCTTCAGTTTGTAATCAATCAGAGGGGGGATAGTGTAGCGAGGATGTGTGAAGGTGGCGTTGTTGTGGAGCTTATATAAATGAAAGTTCGCTAGCTTCTGTCTCAGTTGGAGCGGAGTGGCAGCTATGGCAGGCCATGCATGGCTGCCTCAATCAGCCAGCCTGGGAGAGCGGTTAATTGCTTTGAAGGAACAGCAACCTAGCCCTCATTCAATTAGCGTGCACCTGCCTCTCAAAGAGCGTGCATTGTGCTGTAGCATTTAGAGATGGTGAAGGGAGGCGGTGGCCAATCTGGTTCATAACCCAGCAAAGATCTGTACTGTATGCAGAGAGTGTCAGTCTGAGGCTGAGAGTGCATTGCCACACAAAAAAGGATGGAACTAAGTTATGTATTTTATGATACAAAGATACTGTTAAAGGTGGGGCAACACTTGTATCTTATATAGTTTTAATGTTCTTTTGTTTTTACACAAAAAGAAAATGTTCCCTGTTTGCCCAAGAGATAGAGAGAGAGTCTGTATCTTTAAACATACATGTAAAAAACAAGGCAAAATGTAGCACTACAACAAAGAAAATATATACCTTTTTTTAAAGAATATGTTACACTTGAAATGTTCAAGATTCAGATGTCAGATTTGTTTAAAGTGGACCTATCATGGTATATTTAAATGATATATTGTAGGGCCATACCTATATAAGGTATATTTATACGTTTCTGTTTTCAAAATACCAAACAGATCATGCATTTTAGCCATGCCTCATTTCGCTCAATTTGCACTTTTTTTTTATTAGCTCTGCTCTGCAAGGGCAGATTCAGCGAGAACAGCACCATCTACTGGCCTGGCATATGTACTACAGCGTCTCCAGCGCTTTGGAACGGCAATGGCCGTGGCTGTCTCCTCCTGATTGGTGGAGTTGGCCCAATAGCCGTAGCGCCACTGTCCTGACGTCAGGACAGTGTTCAAATCTGGATCAGTTTTTATCAGATCCGTTGCAGCCCCTTTTTTTTAGAGATTTGGGTATGGAGGAAAATAGAGAGGGTTGTGTTTTCTGACACTTGGTGAGTTCCCTGGAACACCGGGGACACATATTCATGTATAAAAGACGTACAAAAGTGCATTTTGCATGATAGGTCCCCTTTAACTTCTAAAAATTAAATAAACCTTCAAGGGCTCAATTTTGGACTCAAAAAGACTTGATAAGAAGCTAATTCCCATGTGTCACAGAGTTCAGGGCGTAATACTCATACTTGAAAACCAAATCCAAACTGAAGACTTCTCCAATTTTAAACTCTCTGAGAAGCTTTCCTCTGTCTGACACTTGGTTTGAATCCTAGTCCTAACAATGCCACAATCTATTGTGCACTGACAATTACTCGATGAAGCATTCAGGCAATCTTCCTCTACTTATAATGTTTGGAAATATAATGGAACCTCATTATACTTACTAGACATTGCCCGGTCATTGATCAGTACGAAAGACATTGCAGTTAATTAATGTCAATAATGGAAGCCATGCATGAACTGCAAACTGGATGTGTTGTTAATCCCAGGTTGTTAACAGGAGAAATGAAAGTTATATGTTATGGCTGTCTGCAATGATATGTTTCACACTAAACATTTAGGTTTCATACCATTTGTCATGGTGCTTCAAGTACTAATCCTGTGAAATGGATCATGCAAGGACTGCAGGTAATGAGGAATTTACGAGTTAAATAATTTCTTCTTCTTCTACTTCTTGGAGTTTTACGGCGGTTGGCATCCAGCTTAATGGTGCATTACCGCTACTTAAATCATTTCTAAAGATACGATTAATTTTGTGCTCTGAAAGAAGACTGAGTTTTGATCTTTATTGAATTTAACAAACCTACTTTTGTGTCATAGCAGGAATAGTGTTATTCAAGCAGAATAGAGCTTTGAAACCCGCCAGGCAGTATTCTGGCTGAACAGTTATGCCACACTCATGTCGTATGAGAGGAGACATAATGATTGGTTTCAGGCTTTTAAATACCATCCACTCAACATCTGAGTCCTACTTATGTCTGAAATGATGATATTTCAAAAGTTATGATTATGTATATCAGAGTTGAGTTGACACTGCAGTGCCTGAAAAACAAAACAGATATGCAAATCTTGCATCATCCACATTCAGATGTTCAATGTTATTAAACCCACATTTATTGGATGCAAAAATTATCAATGAGCAGCATTTTCCAACCTTACACATGACCAGCTTTGCAGTCAAACAACTGTCTAGAGTTGTCCAATGAGTTATTGGCTTACAATTCAGGAAGTGTCAGCTTTTCTAACATGTATCCAATATCCAATGCCCAAAGGGTGACCAGAGAGGCCTGAAGAGTGAGCATGCATGCCTCACTTGCAGAGTATAAAGTGGATATTTGGGCTGCTCAGGCCTCTCGTTCTTTGTGTTTGGAGAAAACCCTTGAGAGCCATGTTAGTGCTGAGCTGACTGACAAGCTCAACACTGAAGGACTAAATGATATGCAGAGAACCTGTGTCATTTCTCACTTCTCTCCTCTCTCTTGCCTTCAGTAAGGCCCAAACATAAAGGGCACTGTTTCCTGGATTGTGAAGTTATTTTCAGTTTGATCCCCACTCCTTTCTCCAGGTACCTGCATGGTTTAGAGTTCCTCTAAGCCTCTCAAAACACCCAGTAACTTCCCCAGGCTCTGAGTATACATATTTAATTGTCAGACTGACAGCATGTCTGTGTGAATGTGTCTGTCTGTAAGTGCGTAGGGCAGGGCTATTCAATTAGTTTGGAATGGGGGCCGGTTGATGAAAATGATCCAAAGCAAGGGGCCGGGAAAAAGATGGCTTGAAATATGAGCAATCATATTTAAGAGCTTCAGATACAGTAAATACTACAACAGCATAGTGGAGTGCATATATTGTGTTTAATTCAATCAAACAACATAGCCCCAAGGCCTTTATAGATCTAAATGGCAAGTTCAGAACTCAGTAGGCCTACATGTTTCATTTGATTTCATTTAGGTGAAATGATCTAATCATTCACGCAGAGATGCAATCAATGACAGGAGTTGTCACTACAGTATAGTAGGTGGGTTCGAAACCCGAGCCCGTCGAAGTTTTCAGGCATTGTCTACCCCTCTATCTCTCAATGTAACACCCTCTCTGGAATAAAGGCACTATGGCACAAAAAAAAAAAAAAAAAAAAAATCTTAAAAAAAAAAATGGATTACTTTTTAAAATTATACTCAAAGGGCCAGTAAATATCACCCCGGGGCCGGATTTGGCCCGCGGGCCGCCAATTGAATAGCCCTGGCGTAGGGGTTCAGACAGGATATCCCTGGACGGCTGATGAAGAATTGTTTCTGTACAGCTCAGCACACATTGAGCCCCAGTGATCCATTCACATAAATACTGCATCCCCCTTTAAAGGAGACATTTACCCTCATATGCTGCAATGCACCATTGTTAAAGAGTGGCCCAGCTGACCGAAGCTCAGAGTGAAGCACTCACACATGCATATCTGTATGTGTTAAAGAATAGGTCATTTGTTCAGTTTAAGAATAAACACAAATCATTTGATCAACATTTCTCAGAGTTAAGCTCACTGAACTCATACAACTGTCGGGGAAAGCTCCTATTTGTTGTTAGAGGTTTTGGAAAAAATCTGTTTTTGAATCATTGGAAAGCCGTGCATGTGTCATTTTTGTTGTAACAGCACTTTCAATGCAGCAAAGACACAAAAGCAGACTTCAAAATGTATGTATCCAAAAAATACAGACCTTTGTTACTTCAAGTTGAAGAGATGAACAACAGTAAAACAAAAAAGGACAATCAAATAGAGTGCCTTTTTGGCTGAATTAATAACTCATTTTGTGGAAGAAAATATAAATGTTCTCCAAAAGTGTTCTGCTTTTCCTTAGGAGCATCACAATCTGTAATTGAACCCTCCTCTGATTTTCTCTATTCTCTCTGTCTCAGTCAGACAGCAGCAGCCTCAGCTAAGAAGGGAAATATCAATTTCAATTCAGCCTCTAATGTTTTAGTGAATTTTATCCATTACAGTGGCTCTGCCTAAATGGCTCAAATTAAGTGCACACACTTCCCCAAGACCTCAAACAGAAGCTTCAAAGGCTTGGAGCAATTTCTCTCAAACTTAGCTCAAGGGTTTAGTGGGTTGTGGCTGAGGATATCAAAGGGAGCAGATAAGATCACACTGTATTGATCTTCAAATTCAGCTGCTCCTGGCATCCTCTCAAAGTGGCTGAGTGTATGTGGGCACATGCTGCACAAATTGGGTGTCGTTTTTTTCCTCTGCAATAATTAGGAGATGAGTGTACGTGTGTAATCCAGTCAAGTACATTGTAGCTTTGGAAATATTTTCTCTATTTAAAATATGTTTAATTGAATAACTAATGTTCCTCAACAACACGAGGGGCAACGGGTTAACATACAGTAGGATATCATGTTGAAGGGAAACAACTCAGTTTATAAGAAATCATGCTTTTCTGTCACAGTGTAAGCCTACAGCTAGAGTGGCTATAAGTACTATGGTACCCATGAGCCTCAGCAGTCGTTTCTATGGAGAGGAAGGCCACGAGAGGCAGTAGATGAGAGCAATACCAATTTGTAAAGCTAAGCCATTGCAACTTCAAAGAAAACCCATCGCTATGGCAGCTAATACAAAATTAAGAATAGACTTTTTAGCAATCTGGTAATGGGAACCATAGATGATTTGTCTTAATTCGTTGTACACATATTTGCAGTGTAGCAACATCTTAAACCTCTCCAACTTTCTTTCTGTAAAGCTAGCTTGTAAAAGCGTTCCACGATTGACTCTCTTAACAGCATTAACTTGCCCTAAATGTATTCATGTTACCTGTTCATGCATACAGTAGGTGCACATCTGTGGGATTGAATTATAAATCAAGTGTCAAATATGACTAGAACGTTACAAGTGATTGTCTCATTTGCCTCAAAATAAAATACAGCTTTCAAGACATGTCATGAGTGGCGCTATAGGGACAGAAAAAGATAAACACCAAGTTAGATGCTAAGTAGAGGTAAGGAGGGGTCAAGGTAACATGAGAGTGACAGAAATACACAATCTATGTCTTACAGTTACACTGGTGGTGCAATAGAGGATATAACCCTGTAAAATGAATAAAGCCTGAGGCAGCTGTTCGTAGTACGGGAGTTTTTCTAATAACTTTTGAACTGTATCAGTTTCCCTGCCAATAACATTAAATCACCAAAAACCTCTCCCCCTGTAGAGCAAGATCTGTGCATGACTCATTAGTCGGGTCTAATCCACTGGTGATTTTTTTATTTCCAGTATGAAAATTCTAATCAGAAAATGTGTTACTGTTTTCTAAAATCATTGGTACGTGCCACCAAAAAAATCAGTTTGTACAAGTGTTTTTAGCATGAGGCTCATTGTTTATGCCGAAAAAATGAACAGCACTTTTACTTGCTGAACACTTGACTGCTATTCACAGCTTGAACTGTAATGGTGTAACCCAGACTTGCCATCTGTTTACTGTTCCCTCAAATCCCTCTGTAGCTCACAGAACTTGAACAGCCCTTAGTGGACACAAAGATTAGACGACTGTGTGTGCTGTGTGTGTGTGTGTGTGTGTGTGTGTGTGTGTGTGTGTGTGTGTGTGTGTGTGTGTGTGTGTGTGTGTGTGTGTGTGTGTGTGTGTGTGTGTGTGTGTGTGTGTGTGGTGTGCGTGTGTGTGTGTGTGCGTGTGCTGTGCGTGTGTGTGTGTGTGTGTGTGTGTGTGTGTGTGTGCGTGCTCTTACCTCCACAGATCTCCCCACTGATGTTCTCGCACTGACGGTCGTCACACTCACAGTTTTTGCCAGTAACACGACTGTCTCCAGGTGGATAGCAGGTACACTGCCCACACTGGCATTGACCTAAAACAAAAAAGACACATGTCCTCACATCTGAGCAGTTTTTCAGAGTTGTGTGTTTTGCATAGCTGCTCAGAATAATCTTTCTTTTCCTAAAGTGTGACATATCATCCTGAGTTCTTACTTTTAATTCAACCGGTATTCAGGAGAGTCATTTATATACACACTGTAAAGGAGTCATTTTAAACTAAATCTGCTTACATCATCCCCTGCAGCCACACGGGGAAATCTTATATGTAAATCACTCACTTTAATAAACACTCACACACACCTCAAGATGTTGCTATCCCACTTCAATCAGCGAGCTGCCGGTGAAGAAGGCCACAGGGGAACATAGTGGGTGAGCATGCTCTGCTAATGGTGAAGATCATTCGAAAAACATAATCTATTCAGAAATATCATTGGATGTGTGCAGCATACCTGCTCATTGATCATTTTACCAGGCTGCTCAGAGTTATGTTAATGATAGGTTTAGTGTGCTGTAGGCCAAACGCACATATATTTAAAGGCTTAAATGGAAGAAATGCCTTCTAAGTTCATAGTTAGAGTACATTTTCTGACAATGTCCACACTTTGAATGACATATTTTGTAATATATACAGACTTTTAGTTTAACTTTTTACAAGAAAAATCTATGTTTTTTGCTCTCAACTTTGATGAAAAGACTGTCCCATCTGCTCCACTGATGTGAATTGATGTCAAATACGATATGCTCACAGAACAGTAATGCACAATGGTGACTTTACATTGCATCTGAAAGAAAGGATAGGTTTCTCTCAATCATAGGATTCATTGCTATTAAACTTCAACCTAAAGTAAAGAGTGCATTTGTATTACCATCTTAGATAGAGCTTCAGGATTACAGTGCATAATAGAAGGCTTTACCATAAACTATGCAATGGTCTTCTGACTGACATTCTGTAAGACTAACACACACACCTAAAACACACTTGACAGCTTTTTAATTTGAATGTTCCCATCCAAATTCTGCGGTTAAACGACATCCAGACGGGCTACAAACAGTAGTTTGTTGTTTTTATTGAGCTGGGTCCTTTCTACACAATCATTATTCACACTAAGTGTTTCCCTATTTGTAGCCCTGCTGGGCACATGCTGTGTTTAGTGGCACTCAATAATACCTCAAACATATCCATAATGTGAATGTGCCTTCCTTTATCTTTTGATGACTCATTGAATGGAATAAGGGGCAATAAATACCATGAATTGGAAATGGCAAACATGAATTTGCAAAACAGCCACTCGACTGACAGCGTCATCTAAATGTGTTGTTCATGTCACATCACTGTCACTCTTTATGACCACACACGCACAACCTCTCTTCCTGCTCCACATTTAACATACCACCATCTGCTCTGGGGACTTAGTTACCCTAGCAACCGGTGATGTCATAACACCCCTGCCTTATCGATTATCTCTGTACTCGTCAAACCGTCTACACCGGTGTGTGTGAGTTGGTCTGCGTTTAATGTTTAATTTGTCATCCTGTCTGAGGTGAGCAACACCTTAATGGCAGTCAGAGACAAGCCTCAGATGTTTTGGCTCTATATTCATGAAACATGGCACACAAACATCAAAGTACATTCAGTTTTTCCATCTTAGTGAGCAGATGTGCAAGCTCACTTATGTTGCAGTGCAGCACACACGGAAAAGGCGTTAAAGCAGGATGAATACACTGTTAACTAGATGAATATTTAATCAACAAGTCGTAGGGTGGGCTTGAGTAATGGTCAATCAAATCAGCTCCTCTCATTAGATGCAGAGTCCTCATGCAAAAAGGAACACTTGCTTATATGACTATACATGAACTGAAAACCTATTTCCATTTTCATTGATATGCCTTGCAAAGTTTGGCTCGTTGAACATTCACGGAGCTCAGAATACTTCATTAAGTATGCCTCACATACTCCTCGATTTGTGATGCATAGACCTGAAGTCTCCGTAGAATAGCTTGAGGTTCAATGTTCAAAAGTACAAAAGGTTGACGACTTAATATTTCAAACCAGGTGCCATGCAAACAAAATACATAGAAGTATTTGACAAAACAATATCTTACACATAGTGCCGCCGCCTGTTATTAAAGACAGCAGATAAAACCGATGGTAAAAGCAATTAAAGGAGAAGCCCCCAATAAAAAAAGTGTTATGATTCATACAGCGTAAAAGAATCAGATGGAAAGCTGCAAAATGAAACATAAATGATAGATTTATGTGATTTTGGAGATGTCTGTGTGTCAGCCAGCCAGTCTGAGTTTCACATTATCCCAACTTTCTAAAATGGTCTGAACCCGATGGAAATATATGACTTTTTTAATGGCAAAATGAGTACCGAAAATGTGCTGCGCCGGCTGATCTGCATATTACAACCAATGCTGTGAGGCTCCTCTCACCATGAAGCTGTGAAAGTAACACACAGTAAGAAATGCAAAAAAAATGCTCTTGCATCCTATTTATTCTTCATTTCTGCAGCTGAACAAAAACAAACCTCACTCAACAAAAAAGTAGGCTGCAGTGTTACATTTAAATGAATTGACTTAGGGAGGGGTGGAGGAGTTTTATATCAACAAAGCCCTCTTTGACCAATCCATTCAAATCTCAAGTATGTTATCCTTGCAGTGATTGCTTGCCCTTAGTTGTTTGGTTTCACTCAGACATAAGTTAGATTATGCAAGCAAAAGACACTAACTGCTATTTCACTGCGCTTTAAACCCACTTGAGAAACTCAAACTTTAAACTTTTTAACATGTTATTTTAATCTCTCCTTTTTAAGTTTAAGGTAGTGCAATGACACATTAGAATTCCCCCTCAAATGAGTACAGTAAAATACTGTTAAGGTGCCGGTACGTGCTGTTAAATATTAAAAGGGACATACTTTATGTCTTCTACATTCCACACTCCAGTAAGCAGAGAAAGGAATCCCGAGATCAGCAGAAAAATGTTGAAGCAGGTGTTTCCTTGAGGAAATACCGCAGTATAAAACATGTGCTATGCACAAGCGTCTTGCCTCCACCTCTCAGGAAGAAAAGCTCTGAAGTTTCTGTTTCAAATTTCAAGGCTTTTCCGCTCATACGGCCATCTCTACCAGCCGCATTCATCCATGGCTAAGAGATTTTCTACATCTGTCTCCTTCAGTTTCTTTCTCTCTCTCTCTTTCTTACCCTCCCACCCTGCTTCCTGTCTCACTTCATTGTGTTTTTCACAGACCTTCCCTCTCTTTCCCTTTTCTTGCCCTGCAACCACTGTGATCTTCCAAACAGTAAGACAAATGGGCATCCAGTGGAAATAAAGTGAAATAAATAAAACCATGATGCACACACACACCACCCTAAACACTTAAGTATGCATGCATGCACAGTCACCCTTCCTCCTTACCACAGCCCCGACAGTTTCCTCCTCTGTCTATCCGAGCAGAAACTGTTAATAGCACATAACTTGGACTTATGCTCAATGCATTTGACATATAAATTAATAGACATTAATTGTTGACCTCGGCAGACGTATTGCAGTAGTCTAAATTGGAAATCCTGATCAGAAATATGAATTGAACACTTTGCAGTGTGGTGTTAAGGTACCATTAATATGTCACTGAATAGATTGCGATGGCTATAACAAAAAGCAATTTTGAGAAGGGAAGAATGTATTGATCCCATCAGTTGTTCTATGGAGGTAATTTAAAGGTACGGCTTAATTAAGTCTCCCAGCACAATGTACTCTTGGAGTTTCATTACGAGCAAAGGGCACCATGCCAGAATTGGTTTAAGGCAGTCCAAACATTCAGTCAAAAAAGGTCTACTATAGAACACACCCAATAGTTAATGAATAGCTGATGTATTCAAAGGAAAGGCACCAAATTGCTTCTTTTCATAGAGCGCACTTAACTGATATTGAGGCTTCATATCGTAGTCACAGTATTCAAGTGTAAGCTTCGTTTACCATATTGCTGCCAGATTGTTGTTTGCTCATGCTGATTTTAATGTAGTTGTCTCCACGGTTGCAACCTTGCCCTATGTGTTTCAAATGGCCACTATATTAACATATCCTAAGTTACTGTCAGCATATCACCTCTTTCATTTGAAACACAGCATCGACTGAAAGGATGTGGATTCCCCACTGACTTTTCCCACAGTTCAATGAAACAGGAAATCAATGCTTCACATTAACCCCTGATAAATCTGCAGAGCCCTGAGACTAAGAAAGTCGTGCTCCTGGTAGTTATGTCCCACTGAGCCTTTTTCTTTTTCTCTTCTCATTTTGAAGTACATAACCACTGATACTGTTGGCGTTACCCAGAGGATTACAACAATGTATAGAGCAAACTGAACGGAGAAGTGGTGAACAGTGCCCCATATTTCACTGTGAGGCTGATTGATTAAGGTTGCAGCATCAGTATAAAATGCAGGAACAAGAGATGCCTCAGAAGACTGCACCGCATATATGATTTATCTTATCATCAAAAAGCTATAGCTTACTTTGGAACAACGCAGCTTGTTCAGATCTAGAACAATGATTATGTAACCTTTGTTTATTGATACCTCCGGATGCAGGCAAGGCCATACCGTCATTTTTGTTGTCAATTCGTCAAAATGGATGACCTGTCTTGCAAATGATGTCATTCCAAATCGGATGTACAGACGTTTGACTGTGTTTAAATACGTTTTATCTTTACTCAAATGTCATGAATAGCACACCTTCTGAGTGCTGTTTGGATGAAAACATCACCTGCTAGGCTGTCATTTGTCTTTACTTCGCACAACAACAATATGCTTAGAGCGATATCCAAGTTTCTTTTCAAACCTGCTGATGAATGGAATGTGAGTTTTACCTCTCTCAATTTGTTATATGATTTTTCAGTTAATACAACATATTGTAATTGTGACCATGGGGCATTTACAGTATGTCAGCTGCCTTCAAAGATTAATCAGCACAGATTTGCAAAAGGTGAATAGTTTGTTGTACATTTTTGGCAATAAATATTTGGGATTTTATATTGTGTAGTTCGGTAATCATAATCACTGGTTTAAGCATCAATTGATGAAGCAATTTTGGCAGTTAATGAACCTACTGCATGTGTCCTCTTAAAAAAAGCTTTTGCCTCACATTTAATTTAGGCTTTTACTCCTTCAAATGATTTAAAGAATGTTATATTTGTTGAAACTCTTTTTTTTATCCTGACAGCACTCAATTCATTAAAAAAACCATCATTTTTTCCTGAGCTCTATAAATGCCACCAATCAGGATTCAGCATTTTGTAATAGCTCACTATGCATACGCAACAAACAAACGGCCTCTAAAGCATATCGTTTTTCTAGGCCTTAAATATACTCTATCAATCATCCTCATGATCATCAATCAACCGGCTCAAGGGGGCATGTCCAGCATACACATTGATGTATGTACACACTACACGGTATGTTGAGTGGTTGCTTTTTTATACCAGGGCTTGTTTAAAGATGCAATCAAATTTGATGCAGCGCACCCCGGTGGTTTTGCAGCCCTCTTAAGGACGGATTAAGAGATGTGAAACACAGGGAATGGCCTATTTAACACCAAGAGGTGAGGACAGAATACATCAGTAACCATGGCAACAGGAGCAGACGGGAAGACCAGGTACCTCGTCCGAAGCAGGTCAAATTGGACGTTCCTTGACACTTCTTCATGCTGCTCTCCAGAGACAGGGAGCAGGACAGAGGATGCTCACACTTCTTCCCAGCCCATCCCTCTTTACAGTCACACGTGCCACAATTGCACTGGCCATGACCTGCAAAAACAGGTAGAGGAAGCAGAGAGGTCAGATTAACTGGGGTCTTTGTACAAGGAAAATACTAATAAGCGTATTGAACGGATGGAGGAGTGAAGAAAGCACACTTGGCAAGGTGACAGATGGATAGGTTATGGAGCAGTAAGGAGATCAAGAGGGGAGTTAGTGTGTAAGAGAGGGTAAAAAAGGCGAGCAAGGGAGGTTGTTTAATAAAGGGGGCAGGACACGCTTAATGGGATGAATTTAGTATCCTTAGAACTACAAATATCACTGTATGGCCAGCTCTAATCGGCTGTATATGTTAAGTGAATTCATACATGGAGGAATGCACCAAATAACTGTTAACGTTGCATATGCTAAGATGCCGCAAGCATTTTCTAGTACATACACTTTTAGAAGGGATAGCGAGAGCATCCATCATATTTTGTTCATTAATTCTTTAGAGAAACAGTAAAAAGGTCAGTCCCCACCCTCCCTCGTGCACGTTATACAGAAAGTTCACTTTAATGGCACCAGAACAGAGTATTCAAAGCAGATGGAAAGCTGATGTTGGTATGCAAGAAACTGCTGTCTTTTAAATGTGATGATCAGTTTGATACAGACATTAACATAATGATGTACCAGAAGTCATACATTGTATGAACCACTATAAGACTTTAACATTTTGGGAAATATGCCAATTTTTACTTTCATGCTGAGCATCAGAAAGAGAGATGTAACTCCCACATACATACCGTAGCTAAATATATAAATATGTAACTGGAGCCAGCATCAACTAATCTTAGCAAGAAGATTGAAAACAACAGGAAACTAATTGGGCTCCATACAAGTTAACAAAATATGTCTTGAAAAACTCTGAAGCTTACCAACTCAGACATTTGTCATTTTTTGTATTTGTACAAGCCCCGAGTACAAGTGTAAATGTGCTGTTTTATAAGGCATTAAAAGCTGGACTCTGTTTTGCTGGTAACTTTGTTTTTTTGGGGGAGATTTTCTTACCTTTTGAAAGAGCTGTTCCTGTCCGTTTGCTGTCTTTATGCTAAGCTATGCTAACCAGCCGGGAATAGGGTTGTGGTAACAATCTACATGTATACATCTGGGCAAATAAACACGCTTATTTTTACTTTCTTGCTGAGAGTAAGATGAGAAGATCAGTACCAATCTTCTTTTCTTACTATTGTCAAGAAAGCGAATAAGCCTATTTCTTTCACATATCCTGAACCAGTTCTCTTAACTATTTTTAAAGAACATTCAGGATTTCTGTAAATGTCTTGCATACAGGAATGTGAATCCAGAAACAGCATGCTGACCTGTGCAGTAGTCGTCCGTGTATCGGTCGTAGGTTGGGTGACAGGTCCTCTCATCGCATTCACAGGTGTCTCCGTGAATATCTCCCCAGTCGCCAGAGGGATCTACATCGTGACAGTTACACTCCCCACACACACAGGTCCCTAGAATAAAATCACACACACATACAGTATACAGTAATGTAAGAATTCACCATTGTAATTTCTTTCCCAGTCTTACAGTAGAGATACATCTGTCATGTGCACTGGAAATAAACAAACAGAACAATGCTAAATCAACTCTGACATTACTAACTTGGATGCAGGCTTCTCACTGAGATTTGGATAGGGATGGGATGGGGGGGATCTATTTTTCTACTTGAGGTTAAACACAACATAATGAATCCAAGTTTTCCTTCTGTCTTACTTTTTCATCCTTAATCTATGCATTTCTGTCTGTCTCTCTGTCTCTCTGTCTCTTTCTCATTTTTCGTTTTACATCTTGGCCCGGGCAGCAGCCAGTGGAAATCCCATTTTCTCTTATCAGCAGTGACAGAGCAGGGGAGACCCCGGGGGAGCCGGGCCAGCTGGCAGGCCTGCGGGCTGTGGCTGGCGCTTGTCTGGCACTTGGCCCTATAGGTTCGGTCTCCTCTCCACCCTCATAACCCTGGAGCCCTGGATTTATAGAGCCATGCACTTTAATGTCTGCCACAAATGTCACATCCTGGCTTTACACGAGCAGTAGGAAAAAAAATCTATATCAACCTATAAAACATTAAATATTTTGACGAGAAGAATCCTTGTTTCTCAACTAAGGCAATCTCTCACCACACAGAAGGGGAATTATTCCTCTGTTTGTGCCTCTTGCAGCAATATCATCTCGATTCAATTTGTTTTGATCATGAAATTATATGCATTAATTTAGCCTCCAGCGTTTTTGGCTGTTATCATTTTGACAGCACGCCAGTTAGTTCATTAATAGCTCAACTGCGGAGGCTAGGTGACCCTAACAGACGGAGGGGTCTTTCATTTTGTAGAATGAAACAGAGTAATATATTAGGTGAGTAAGAAATAAAGGCCACAGTTCAAATGAATAGAGAAGGAAGAAGTTTCACATTCTCATAAAAATACGTCTGTAGTGGGTGATGAAATCAACCCTCTTGTGTAATCACCTTCCATGATCCATCTACCATAATCACCAGGAATGATCTTCACAATGCGTTAAAGGAGGATTAATTCAGAACAAAGTGGTAACATGCCATATGGGAATGGGAATTAATAATATTTCCCATTTTAATCAGTAGTAGCTGTAGTAGTATAATCAGTGTGAATAGAGCAGATTGGAGAGATGAGGGTGACGTTGTGTTTTACCAAACGGGGACTGGAGCGAAACAGGATTTTATATTTTGAGCAAGGGTCACACAACTGACAAAGTCTGACATTTGTTGCCAGTGCAGTGGTAGTGGTAGCATTTTGAGAAGTGCATCAGTCAGGTTTACCTTAAAAAAATTTAATAGAATGAAGAAAATGAGTGCCAGAAATGTGAAAAATTATAATTTCCCAAATATTATATACTTTCTTTTCTTCCATCAATTTTAAATACTGTTAGCCAGGATAAGGTTATATCCACTTATTGCAGATACGTTGTAAACGGATACTCTTAGATATGAGACATGTTTATAGTGGCTGTCAGTCAAATCTTTGAGATTTCATGAAACTGATTAATGTTTCTTCCTTTCTTAACACCAATTTAGCTGCTGCTCAATGTAGAGAGGACGAGAACTACATCTAAGCTGAAACCTGCATCTTTTCCCAAAGTACAACCATTTTTCAAAAGGGAATCAATTCATTTATCAATATCACATAATAAGCTTTTGAAAGAATTGTAAAATGCTGATAAGCTAATAGAGAAGCAGAGAAAATGTGTTCAGGGTAATTTGAACTGAGATGGACTTCGTTTTAATTGCAATCCTATATTTTCTTTCTGTCTGATAACCTTTGAAATTGTAACACCTTTGACTGACCTTTTCTGTACTTAAGAAGAGTACAATGGTCTACTACACCATTAACACAGTGGATGGTTGTCCATGCTGTGTCAGCTGTGCACTTAACCATAAACCATCAGGCTCTGTCCATGTAGGCTATCATTTAGCCCGACCACTTAGCCAGCCCTCAGCCAGTCCACTGAAATTAATTTTAAAGAGATTGACTGAAATCCCACAGGATCACTCGAGTTACGTTAGTGAGGCTATTTCTCTGACTGTGTCCGCCAAGCTCTGTTGACTTTCAGTAAAATTTACATGAGTATTTCTCATCCAATCTTTTCTCTGTGCAGTTTTCTTTTCTGTATTTCTTCTTCTCCCCCGTGTCTCTTCCCTTTCTTCATTCTTAGTTCAAAAGGTGGATGTCAAAGTGTCTCTTTTTTATATGTCATAGTCAGATAGCAGAAGACAACTTGGGTTCTTTTGTCACACATGTGGGAAAAACTGGCACTGATCAAAGATTTCTTTGAATCTTTGTTCAGCATAAACACCATTAATTTCTTCCCCAGTGTTGCACTACACCAGGATAGTGTCTCCTCCTCCTAATGACCTGAGATAACAGACAGGAAATCACCTGATGCCTTTTATGATGTTTGTTTCCTGTTTCGTGGCAACATAATTCAATTGCAATTGTCACTATAGTGTGACATGGACTCAAATGGGTTTGATGGAATTAACCATTGGCAGAAATTCCTGGCAACCATTCCTCTATTTGTTTTTCTTTGTGAATCAATGATATTATTTATCCGAATAAAGGCTGTGGAAAATAGCTGTTTTCCATAATTGTACATTTTGGATGTTATACATTTTAGATGGTGGTTTAAAAAAATATTTAATAACAAATCTGAGAATAATTTAAGTACTGTTCTGGTTTGAGGCGGGTAAACAGACCTCTGTTGCTGCAGATTTTCCCATCTGGAGCCTTGCATTTCCGCTTGCTTTCCCATGGGCTGATGTCACACTGGAATTCACATTTGTCTCCATGCCAACCAGCAGCACAGTAACAGTTTCCACAGTAACACTGGCCATGGCCTGGAAGCAGATCAGAATGCACATGAAACAGCTGATGAGTTCACCTTTATCAGTAGATTAGCCGTCAGTTAAACACACATTTAAATATTCAGTGTTTAGGATTTTAAGATGGCTGGATACTATTTCAAAGCCCTGTATTTTGACAAAATTATTATTATTCAAAATGAATATCACTCTTAATTATACAAATTAAGATTAACACCATTTTATTTGCCATCTTTTCAAGACTAGCTTTAGAAACAAATTAAGCTTTCTGTTTTTCTGACTTTGGCCTGATACGCTAAATCCATTATTTAGCTTTGAAAAGGAAATGCTTAATTAACATTGGGATCAGGCACTGGAACAACCTGCGGGGAACAGGGATGAGTTTAACAATGCAGTCAGCTAGAGACAACAGTTCAAACTTCACATTAACCTTCATTGACGCATGAGGGGAATGTATTTTCTTATGTCAAACAGAGTGACAAAGATAGACAGTCCTTGAAAAACTACATGTTAAACTCAGGTGGCTGTACTTTTGGTGGATGAGTGGGGGGATGAGACAGCGGATACAGGCCATACCTCCACACACCTCTCCGGTATCCTCGTCCAGACACTCGCTGTCGTCACACTCACAGAAGCGTCCAGTCACCAGACCCCTGTTGTCCTCATTGTTACACATGCAGCTCCCACAGTGGCAAGTGCCTATTAAAGATGCGCCAGCTTTAGACACAGTTTAAGCTCATTTGTTGGAAAACATCCAATATGTGGGTGTGTTTAAATGTTGTGTGTGGTTGGTATGGGAGGATGTGTGTATGTTCTGATGCCTTGCACAACAATAACCCAGCTGGTTTACAGATGTGCTTTGGAGGCACCGTCTAGGCATTATGTGTCAACGGATGTAGACTGGTGTCACGGCTGTGGTTGTGTATGTGTGTGCAGGGGCTTTCAGATGCTATGCTATATCATAAACATACAAACTGGGACTGTGTGACTCAAATAAGCTCTGGCTTTGGAGGTTAAAAACTAATTGAATAATCAATACTTACACACAGTACTGTTACACAACATATCAGTCTTCCTTATGATGACCATTCAGGTATAAATGGGTTAATGTACTGGTGTTATCAAAAAAGAGATTGTTTAATCTGATATGTGTGAGAACAAAGAAATCACAAGAATCGGTCCTAAACTGAAACAACTATAAATTGTAAGTAATGCCTTTATTAGCATTAATAATTCCTTTTAATTATTATGTTTGGTTTAATAATAAGCTCTTAAAAGGGAACATATGGAAGTAAAAATAAATAAAAGGAAACGAAAGAAATACATGAACAGATTTATGCAAAGGCTGTATAAGTAAATAATGTTGCCTAAAGCAAAATATTAAAAATGTTATTTCAAGTTCTAGTTATGTGTGTATGTTGTGTCTATTGGTCTGCTGATATGCGATGCTGGTTGTTTGGTTGGAGCAGGTTTTTATTAATGCTTTGGTGTCATTTTCTTGCAATTCTGTATGTATGTGTGTAGGTGTACATTCAATGTGCAAGTCTGCCTGTGCGCCTGTGTGCACACACATTTGTCTGAGTGTTTGTGGTACCTCTGTTGGAGCACACCACCCCCTCTGGGTTTTTGCAAAGCTCTTTGCTCTTCTTGCTGGGTAGGTTACACTCCTCCTGGAACTGGCAGGCATCTCCAAACCAGCCTTCATCACACTCACACATCCCACAGTCACAGTAGCCGCGGTCTGAAGGAAACAACACAGACCACATGCTGTTTATCAGTGCCTAAAAGCATGCCACTGCCCAGTGCTTCGAAATTGCTGTACAAACAGGAAACACACACGTGTTATTAAATGTAAGTGTTGGCATTGCACGATGGAGAGTAAAAGCATTGGAATAAATTGATAATCCCAAGTGTTTTATGGAATATGAAACATACATATTTGAAAATCATATCTTTTCAACATTTCAGGAAGAGGTACTCGCCTCCCCTTCAATCACTCAGTAACAGCGTTGCCTTGTTCAATGTCACAGGACCTACTCAGGCAGTTTGGCGTCACAGCATTTCTCATCATTCTGATGGCCGTAGTGAGCAATGTGAAAAACAGGGGTTATTATGAATGCTCCTAATGCATTTAGCAGCAAGGGGCCTTGTATGTCACACTCAATCATTCTCCTGACTCGTTCATCATGTATCCGTGGTGTCCTTTTCAAGGGCTATCCATCAGTCATTAACAACAGGCAAGTCCCCTGTCTCTTCTCATTATTGATACGTCTCCGGGGACACTTGCACGTTCAAGGAAAAACTAATATGGAAAGTGCACTTCAAAGAAAGCTGCACTACATACCATTTTGAGGAAAATAAATAGATTTTAGGAGATCCCTAACCCTAACCCTAACCCAAACCTAACCCTAAACCCTAACCCTAAACCTAACCCTAACCCTAAACCCTAACCCTAAACCCTAACCGTAAACCTAACCCTAACCCTGAAATCCCCATCATATTTAAACACATTAAGCATCCTAAAACACAGCAGAACCAAGTCTTTTTCTAATATTTAGTCAATCTTGAATCATTGCCACCATAACATTCTACTGTGGAGAACAGTGAATGTAAATTAACAATTTGTGTATGTGTTGTGATTCGTATTAGATGTTTCAATACACACAGCACTATTGGTGCAAGGGACAGGAAATAAAAACGCTTTTCTTTTTGGATTTATTGCAGATGTCAACTGCCACACGATAGCTGTTAAACAGCGTAAGATTAAAGTCTCTCCAACTTAATCCATCAGAATATTACAAAGTTGCTGCCACCCACCAGCGGCTAGCCCCCATTAATCTCCACTTGACAATCACTCTGACATACAAGATGGACCCTCTTTGTCTGCTATAGGCGAAAGTTTATGTGTGTGGGAAGGTGCCTGTCTGTCGCCAATATATCTTTCCTGGTGCTTCCTGAGCAGTAATTCTCTGTGGTTTACGAGTGTCAGTGGCCTTCCTACACACCAACAACAGATACACACGCCTAGCCAATCAGGGACCGGTCAGAGCCCAAATACATTCACTGGGGGTCGGAAAAGAGAGGGTGCATCAGTGTCAGCATCAGTGGCATTTATAACAGGTGATGAGGCGCTACCATGATTAACTGCTAATGAGAAGAGGATGGTGACTCATTCAGCAAGCTCATTTCAGGTTTAGAATTCAACTTGTCCTTCTCTGATGATAAATTAGGTATAATATAAACAGGGTGATAAACAAGGGACTAGTTTTGTATGGAACATACTTCAGAAATCTTGAGTGATTACTGGAAAAAACTATGTACCAAAACTAATTTCCTCTCCGTGAGCAGAGAACACTTATTTTGCTACATTCCAGGCAATCTTGGGGCTATTCTGAGATTTCAGTACAGTTTCGATTATAGGAAACGCAATAATGCAAGACATACATTATATATTGCACATCTAAAACTCCTTGAGACTGTCTCTGCGCCCATTTATTACCAGCACTTGATTTTTCATCTCAAAAAGACATTTCCACACTTACTTCGCTTAGGTCATGTTCTCCATACCATGATCGTCATTTCAATGAGTAATTATCCTTCCTTGCTTTCTTCTCCCTGTGGGTTTCGGAGCGTGAAACAGCAGCCTGTCAGCTCCTATTCTGTGGAAAAGATCTAGGAGACACTTGTCTCAGGTAATAACTCATCCTCTATGAGCGCTGCCCTCGGAACAAGTAATACTACTAATACTTACAATTCACCTCGACATTCATTTGTAAACTTTGTTGGCTTTAATATACCTTTTTACTACCTCTAAATATATATTTGTCATTATGATAACAATGTATGTTCCTACAGCAAGAAGTATTTGGAAACTGTAATAGGTCCCAATCAAAATGGCCTTTTACTAGTAGACTTGGATAGACTTAAGTGGCTCTTTCTCCTTGCAGCCCACACTGCTATCATTAGGTGACTCACCACACAGGCACACTGCCCAGCAAGACCAGAATATCTAAGTGAAAGCACATCAAAATATGTACTAGCAAAAAAATACAGATATGAACAATTTAATGGGCTGTAATGGCTCAAGGACTGCATTTCACTGTGGGTAACTGTTTTTCTCTCTATTTAGGAAATCAACAGGAATGAGTAAAGCTTTTAGTCATTTTGAACAGACTGCCATTAGTGAGTTGTTCTCCCATGATTACTTTATATCATGTCTCTAATGTGTCCATATTGGAAGCAACATCTTACGCTTATGTAACACTGATTGAAAGTGCATCTGGAGGAGTTTGATTTGGAACAGCGTGGACAAACTGACTTCTTATGTGCCGCTGACATAAAACCCTCTTGGGTGGGATCTTCTTTGGCTCTGGCAGGGGGCTCAGAGGCTGGGGGGCTGAGCCAGGAAAAGAGTAGAAGCTCTGAAAACCTAGTGAGGTAGAGAGGCCAAAATGTGTTCTTACAAAACTTCAAAACCGCCATCAAGCATGGTGGAAAAGGTTTTCGCACTCATGCCTCCCCATTTCAACTGCTCCTTTGAGATAGGGCGAGTTGGACACGCATGTGATAAAGTCTGCCAGAATCATAAAGTTACAGATTGTTCCGGATTGCAGACATACTTGGCTCAGTGACTGCAGGGATTTGGAAGTACCAAAGAGAACGCATTTGACCCTGTGTTTGATCAAACATTTGTTAGCAATTACAGTAAGAAGTATATCAACTCTGTCTCTGTCTTTGATAAAGAACAATTCAAATAAACAAGCAGTAATGTTCCAATGAAGATTAAACTCATACTGTAGATGATTGCTCACTAAGGGCTTTAGTCTTGATATAATGGTCTAATGCTACTCAATATTGCACCAGTAATTACTAACAAGTTGATTATACATTACAGTGTTTTTTCACTGGGACAATGCTAGCCTGCAGCGCCCTGCGCCACCCTCTGTGTCTCTCACAATGGAAAAAGCCCATCAATCGCAGAGAAGCACACACAGAACAGACACAAAGAGCGAAGAAGTGAGGGAGAGAGACTTCATGTGGCTCATCAATGAGGGGGGAAAAGAGGGAAGGCTGTGAAAGAGAGAATGGAAACATTACCACTATGACTGTTATCTATGAAAACAAGGGAGTTATTATGGAAATTACATAATATATAGATTAACCTCACAAGGGTGTTTTTCTCATGTACTGCAGCTTAATAGAAAAAGGGACAGGGGATAGAACAGGGTAATTCAACACAGTCAAAAACAAACAGCAGAGTGAAATAACAGCACGGATTTGCACAGTTGGTGAACAGATGTTAGGTCACCATCCCGTTGCTCTGCTGCAATATGGGATGCATCAGTGGGAGGAAAAACATGTGAGTGACAGCAGCACTGATTTTTGTAAATCATACAATAAATTCAGCAACAACTTCTCTAACACTAAAGCTTGAATGTTCCCTGTTGGTTTAACATTGCTTATAACTTGTCCATTATCAGTCCATTAGTATTCCAGAGATGTTTTTCTTGGCACTGGCCATAGTATAAGATAATGTATGGGATCACACAATGGGCAAAAAATAAATATATTTACTGTGGAGCATGCCTCTATTATTTTTATGAAAAATAGTCTAATGCATGTGAAAAAGGAACACATGTTCTTTTCTCCTCAGAATAAAATAAAAAGGAGAGCCTTGTTCGTTCTTCTTTTCAGTAAGGCTTAATGCTAATAATGCATTGCGCAACAACAGCCATAGGCAAATTGCTATACCCTTCTGTATACAAGCATAGTTTATAAATGTAGTATTTCCAGTTCACTTGACTTATATGTCTTTTGAAGGAAACCAATACAACAAAAGGCCATAAAAACTCCCCACAAAAAGAAACAGCATGTTGTTTCAGACCAAAGGCATTCTTGCTCTGTTGGCAGTAATATTCACTTTAAAGCCTTATACTGCTTCAAAACAACACCACATTTAAACCATGCTTTTTAAAGATGTTGCCATCAGACCTTTATTTAAGAAAATAAATCATCCCCATCTTCCTCATCCAGCCTGACTTGTTGCTCTGACTAAAGGGTTTGAATTAGTCCGACAAATGCCATCCAAGGTAAAACAACATCTCAATGCCAGGAAAGCTAATGTTTTTGGAAAGGGAAACACACAGTTTATCCCTAAGGAGAAAAATCAATTGGATCTTATCACTGGGCAGTTTGGAGAGGCAGAGATAAGGTTGCCGCAGGGAGAGAAATTGGCTGCCGATCTCAAACACGGACCCTGCTGCATGGGCTATTGAGCAGCCAGAGGCAGGTGGCGATGTGTGTATTCTTCTCAATATGCTTTGACTAGATTTGCTGGGCCCTATATGCACATGGGAAAATGGTTTTATAAGTATGTGCCTCGTTGTGCATATTTCTATCTGGGTGTGAAAATCTATCCCTCTTGTGCTACATCTAGATTCCATTTGCAGTCCGTGTAGCAGGGAGCGAAACCCCATTATCAGGCTGAAGCAGGGCCTTCTCGCTCCAGACCGCTGAAACATAATGAGCTCCCCAAAGCAGCCGACATGTCTACCCAAATAAATCACTCTACCCTGCACGTTTACACACACACACACACACACACACACACACACACACACACACACACACACACACACACACACACACACACACACACACACACACACACACACACACACACACACACACACACACACACACACACACACACACACACACACCAACATGGGACTTGCATTTCTCACAACTTACAACGTTTCTTATACATAATAATTTCTACTTACATCTACATATTTTTATGCTCAACCTCAGCTGCCAGTTTATAGGGTCGATCAAGCTAAAACTAATGGTGTCTGATACAACAGCCCAGCAATACATCTGAGCTTTGTAAGAGTTATGATGGTCATGTTCAGTTGTTAGGATTTGATTAAAGTGTATTGTCATTTTAGAATCTATAGTTCATTGTTCTGTTGAATTGTATTGTGTTACACTTTGATGTGTTTCTTTGGATTTTTTTGACACATACTCTTCTATACTTACACATATATAATACACATACAGACAAAATGGACTTCATAGTTGAATTAACCTTTTTTACATTTCGATTCAGTGAAACAAGCTGTAAACAGATATATTTTTGTTATAAAGATCTGTAGCGCATAGGGAAAATGCAAAGTGAGAACTCAATTCTCCAAGGATGTGTCACTATAGCTATGCCTTTTACAATGCTGTCATTGTTATTGTTAATGTGAAACTATTGATCAGGGCAGCAACATCACTGCCTCTAAAATGACCATAAAGTTAAGTCAACCCAAACTTATTTCAACAAAACTGATCATTGTATTCTTCATGAAGGTAAGGTAAAAATATGTGTCTAGTTCCCTTTTGAGTTTGTCTATGAATACGTTTCCAATAATTTCCATAGAAATAGCCTCCGTTCTCATATGCGAGCCTGCAAAATCTATGCTCATCTTGGATAATGATTGTGTACAAAGTGGAGAGTGTCTCAACTTGTCCTCGAGTGTGGATGCACTCTCAAGTGTTGTTACTCAGAACTTTTAGAATTGCAGACAACAGGCTAAGCCGTGCCTCGCAACAAAAGCTATGCCTTGGTAACATACTTGAACCAACCAGCTGTCTATTACCAATGAAACCCTTTGAAGTGCTGCCAAGGTGATGCAGGCTCTCAGGGACACAATACTGCAGCCCTCTGATTTGGCAATAAAGGGTATAATAAAGGTAAAACTCCACAGAATACGAGCTGAGACTCTCCAAGTCTGTAAAAAACATGTTTCTTCCTTCGATATCATAAAACGAAAGGAATGTTAGAATCCAATACCAATCTAATAGGTTTTTGAATTTCACCCTCAAACCCTCTTTCCTTCCTAGCACCTGGCTGCAACAGACGCTGAACATCAGCTGGAGAGTCCATTTGTCAAGCTTCTCTGATGAAAGCCAACAGTAAGGAGTTCTGCTGCATCACTTACCGAAACACCAGTGATAACCGTACCCAAGTAGAAAATATGTGGAACCATATGCCTGTACACTTACTTTTATCAGAATATATACCAATAAAATAATATATTTGACTCCATGCCATATCACCAAACCATTGAGTTTTATGTTTTAAAGGTCACCTATTATGCAAAATCCACTTTTTCATGTCTTGTATACATAAACATGTGTCCCCTCTGTGTAAAGAGATTCTGAAAGTTTCAGAAAAAAAGATTCGCTCACTTTTCGTCCTGACCCATTTATATAAAAACCGGTCTGAAAATGAGCTGATCAGATTTTGGCCACTTTATGATGTCATAACGATTTTTTGGCTTGTGTAACCATTAGCCAATCACCAACCAAGGTAACACCCGCCCACCTTATCACCTGAATCTCCTCCTCGAGCACCATTGTGTTCTTTTTAACCAAATATCTCTCAGAGGGGCGTGGGGAGTGGCTCCTTATTTTCATCTAAAGTAACAGACAGAGAATCAGCACTTTTGAAACAGGGCTGAAACAGAGGGGATTATGGGATGCTCCAATGCATGATCTGTTTGGTATTTCGAGCCAAACACTTCAGAGACATGTTTTGTATATATCTGAGACCTATTATATATTGATGAAAAACAGTATAATAGGGGACCTTTAATATATTGTACGCACCATTGCAAGTTTTCCCATTATATGTAGAACAGACCCAGTCGTGGCAATCGCAGCGTGGACCGTAGAACTTCCCTGGATCGGTGGCCTCGCAGATGCAGACGCCGCAGTCACACTTGCCCCTCCCACTGCAGATCTTGCCATCAGGGGTCCGGCAGCGGCGCAGGGACGACTCCGAGGAAAACTTGCACACACCACCCACCTGGCTGGGTAAAAGAAAGGTCAGTTGTTATGCAGCTTTGGAAAATTCAGGTCGAAGGTCAAGTTTGCAGCACCTGTGTCTGTTTTAAATACAGTACCACATTGTAGTGAAAATACCTTTGCTCACACATGGCAGTGTTGGCTACCTTTATATATAAAAAACGATATATAGTGCATTCATTGCATTTATTTTGTCGACTATAGTATTAGAATGGATATTCAAAGTCAGGAAACCCTTAAAACATTTGAGATTTTGATGAAAAAACTGAATGTTAAGGATAAGCTATTAAATCAATAAATCAAATGAGACAGAAACAGCTTCACATTTCATTGAGCACACACCAGCAGCTGTTTCTGAGCTTTGTTTTTACATCATGGGATCTCACTGTGAGATTTGTTTCATTTGGATGCTGTCTGACATTCTTGTTCTAATCCTGGCTGAATAGTAGACACATTTCAAACAATCAACAGATCAAATGTCCCTGACACTCCCATGGAAATCAAATAAAGAATGTGTGTGTTCTATGTGCCATGGGGAGGTTATACAAGTTCCATTTCAGAGGAGCTTCAGCCACTGAGGGCTGTTTTAGGTTTGAGCAAACTCTGGTGATTTTTGAATGTATCTGCTGATCAGGATGAATCATTTTCTTTTCCCACGACAACATGACCTTGGGATGACTTCCAGTAGTGAAACTTGGCTTGGACTGTGTTTGAAACCACTCCATGTCCTGTCCTGTGCCTTTCGGTTCCAATGTTCATTCATATTTAATCTGCATACTGTATATCTCCTGTCCCAAAATAGTGACTCCTGAGTAGGAAGCAAGCAAGCTGCCGTTCCTGGGGACTTGTTTGGTCCCTAAAGGGTCCAATAGGGGACAAAGCTAGTGTGGAGAACATGTTATTAATTGTCCCACCGTGATCCTGCCTCTCTTGGAAGCATTTTGCTGTAGGATGTTTATTAAAACACTCCTTTGCACATACATGGAAATTACATTTCCTGCAGTGGCTTCACCTCACTTCTTAGAATTGCAGTTACAAAACATAACCTTTATTATTGTGTTTTTCCCACCTACTCTTTTTGACACAGCCATACCCGGTAAACAAATAAAGTAGGTATTATTTGGAAGTGCCTAATTAACACTGAGAAATAACATTATTATCACCTGGATTCTCAGGAGTTGTTGTGCTGCTGTCTAATTTATGCTATAAACTGTAGGCCGCACTATGACATATAAACACAATATTATCTCTACACAGACATGATGCACCTGCTTGTAGAGTACACCCCCTCTGCAGCTGAGTTAAGATTGAATCATATGGGAACATTTACAGATCTGCTGAGTCAGGCTCTACAGTAAGAGGCCAAGGTAAACGGAAATTATTTTCCCACATTTTAGCCAATTCCAGTGATAGACTTACAGTATGTCATTCTTACCATTACAATTTCACATTTATTTCCAATCAAATGTAAAAGCTCCTAGAAATGAATTGGTTTTATGGCATCAGGGGCTTAAGTGCAACATCCCTAATTTGATTAAAAACTAAAATAAATGATATGATACAGCATAGCACCGAGAGTTACCGAGTGCATTTAAGTGAACTTTTTTTCAAAAAGATTAGGTCTTGGGATTGCCATTCCTACTTTAATTTTTTGTGACTGCAAATTATTTTTACTTTCCCAAAACCTTCTTGTACCGAACCCACAACCACGAAAGCTGTCATAACATTTTCATGGCAGCTTGAGTGTCCAACTGAAAATGAATGAATGTGTATGCGTTTAAAAAAAGTGCCAGTCAAACAGTCATTAATGGAAAAAAAGAATCATACCCATGGCATTAGAATTGTTGGCAAGTCAAGCAGCATTAAAGATCTGCACAAAAAACTGCAAACTTCATGTATAGTCTCTCCTAAACGTTCCCACATTGTACTCTCTAACTGCTGTCTTAGTCAGCAAAACTCTGCACCTCCCTCTCCCTTCTTGCTCTTTACACTAACCCACATTAAACAAGAAGAAATAAAAGCTGTGTAGAAACTCACCTCACCGATTGTAACAAAGTGTCCTCCACGGTAGTGAGCAGAATCAGAAACAATGGGACCAAAATGGACTGTACCAAAGCCTCAGTGTGCATGTTTAAATCCCAGAGAAACCTGAAGTAAAGTAGCTTGAAGGAATTTCCCAATCGTTCACTCCTTAAACAGACAGGACAGGAAGAGAGAGTGAGAGGGAAAAGAAAAGGAGAGAAGGAGAGTCAGAGCAGCAGGCTGGCCTGAACTGGCTCAATCCCTTCAGAGGCCAACAGTTCTCTCCATACAAGTGCCTTTGATTAGTCTTGACTCTCAGACACAGGCCTGGGCAGGAGCTGGAGAGGGGGAAACTGCCAAAATAAAAAGTTAAGTCACCAGTTTGAGATGTAATTAGAAGCAGACTGCTTTTTTCTTTTTAATGTTTTGTTCCATTTTCACCCTTCTTTTTCAAGATGATCTCTCTGTAGTGGTGGAGCTTTTGTTTCCATCTTTTCTTTTGATGTTACAGGCCTTTGCCGGAAGATATTTTGACATGTCACAATAGAAAAAAGCACAGGTGTGAATTATCACATAATTATGGTGGAATATTTGTTATATGTCCTGGGTCGAGGATTCTTGCTTTATGCATGCTTGCTTACAGTTACACAAAGCCTAGTCTTACGTGGACACTTGAATGGAAAAGTGATTGTTCTTGTTATAAATAAGTAATAACGCCTGTGTTTTTCCACACCAAGTCAAAATGGAGAGTCAAGTGTGCTCAAAATTATACTGCAGAATTACCAACAGGCATTTAACTCTGATCTTAAATAACTAATGTCATTGGAAACAAAGTTGAGGGCAAACATTCAATTTCTGTAAGACTCAAAGACTGAATTACACTCTGTACTGTAATGTTTCGATCAATACATATTTTAAAATAGCAGTGGAGTCAAAAGAGCAACCTGCAACATTTAATAAAAAACGTCTTTTTCAAGAGAGACACATAAGCTCCAATATAGTTCGTATTGACAGACTGAAAACTGCTTTCCAAGGATCATAGTGTTTCTGAGGAATTCCCATTCCTAAAATGACTTCAATTAAACTAGAATGGAACTTTAGTATTGTAATCTCTGGTTGTATTTGCAGAAAAGGCTAAGTAGCAAATCCATTCAAACAAGATTGTTGGCCCCTTGACATTAAGTGATACATATGGTGAATCAGAGAGAGGAAGTTGCACTTGTTTAGACCTTATTGTAATAAACATTTTTACATCATAATGCAACAAAAATATACATTTCAAATAATTTACATTTTTTAAATTATTTAACATCAGCAATGTCTGCATCCAAGTTCCAAGGACTTGTCCAAGGCCTATTAACTGATTGACATCACCTGCTTCATTTTAATTCTTTAAATGTGCGTATCTACCACCCGGACCTCCTTCATGCCAAGATATGTGTATTTTTTTGTTAAGGTATAGGATTACTTCCCACAGCAGAATTCTCGGTGCTGCTTGCATTATTGAGAGCTACATGATTTAGCAGGGATTTTTCCAGAAAAAACCTGTGCAAGCATTTGCTACAAATTCTCAGTCCTTAACCCTCCTGTTATCCTTGGGGTCAATTTGACCCCATTCAATGTTTAACGTATCTAAAAAAATGGTTCACATTATTTGTTTTGCTTAGTATTTCATGACTTTTCCTAATTTAGTGAGGACTAATGGATAAACATAAAATGAACATGAAGATCTTTTTTAAATGTCCTGTACGCACTTTGTTCGCATCGGTGTTCCTTGGGGTCAATTTGACCCCAGGCTGTTTTAGTAGTATAAAACATATAAAAATGTCAATATTTTACACATATTTGTGTTGATTGTGTAGGATGATATTGAGGTGACTATTACATGCAAATGTATCATTGTAAAAAAAAAACTACCCTCTGCTTTAGTTATTGGTCCTTTAACAACATCAAAAAGATCTTACTTCTTACATTTGATTTCATTCAGTGAGATTTTATGGTGATTCATATATTTTTCGATAGTCACATAATAGGAATTCTGGATGTATAAAGGGGTCTGTAGAAGGTTGGGTTAATGTTTTATTTAAATGGTTATTTAGGTAGTCAACTAAGATACCTAAAGCACCAGAGACATACATGTTGGTTACAATTTGGAATATGATCATTGTCTTGAGTTTTAAACTACTGGGGTCAAATTGACCCCAGAGGAGAAAGGGTGTAAAGTAAATCTGAGGATAACAGGAGGGTTAAGCCATTTGTGTCTGATTTAATTATTAGTATTTGTCAGCACTGTATACCATGTTGGGTAAATTCTTGACTAAATTAGGTTCACATTTAATTTTTTTGTTGCAATTATTCAATATAATATAACCTCATAGGACCAAGATCACAGTTATTAAATTGTATTTTAAGGCAACCAATTATGTTAATGCTTTTCCCAGACAACAGTGTGCACATTTTGTACTTTGGCAGCATTTAAACTGCTTGAAACCATCCGAGGCTGAAGGAAAAAAAGCCTATGAACAGCTGTGTCAACTACTCACAAAAGGCTGAAGTGAAACTTTCAATTTGCACCTTTCATCCAGGAACTCACTCTGTTCTGAGTTGACCTGACAACACTGTACTCAATAATTTATGAGGACTTCAATCAAAGGCATGCATAACTAAACTCATGCTTTGTTCTAACTAGGAATTTAAAACGATTTTAAGTTAAGTCAGGTTAATGTTGACCTGACTTGATTTACAATCGTTTTTAATAGTGTTGACAACACTATGCATAAAGCCCAATATGCCAAACTCCAAATTAGCTTTACAATGTGCACATAATATGACATCCTCTGTCTCTTGAGAATCATATCAATGTTTATGTTTTGTTAATGTCATTATACTGTTATTGGGTAGTCTACTGTCTGAATAGTTGGCCCCAAAACAGTTATTTACAGTTAAATATGCAACATTCGGAGATACACAAATACATGTTTTTTTGTCTACTTTTTTGTGATAGTGGAGTTCTTTTTTTTTGCCAAAATGTATCATTACAGTACTCAAACAAGTGGGAACAATCAACAAAAAAGTATATGGGCCACCATTGTGATGGAGCAATTTGAGGACCTTCAAACTGTTACCATGGAGACGGCTGCGCGCCTCCGCTGCATGCGCTGGAGCTGTTGATGTGATTGGAACCTGCGCGCGCTCCCGCACTCTCCCATTCGATCCGAACACACACACCCGGAAAAAAACAGCTGATGTAATGGACAGGACGAGACACGGTAGATAAAGACAGTCCTCCTCTCGTAAGTGATTCAGTATGTTTTTCTTAAGCCGCTGCTACACTCGTCGTGTGTGTGTAACCGGACGCACAGCTGTGGTGCTTTGGGGGATGCTACTGATGCTGCTGCGCTAGCTTGTTCCAGGAAGTGGACACATCCTCATCCTTTCGGAGTAGGCCTTGGTCCAAAATTGCCGTGTATTTGCTATACTATCACGTGGCCTCGTTGCCACATAGCATATAAGCTACGTTTAGGACCTACGCCTGCCCACATGTTTGTAAACGCACTGTGTTTAGCTTATTTTTAAACCAATGTAGCACCTTAGCTCTCATCCGTTTCCATAGTAACCTTGGCTCTGTGTCGGTGTCATTCATTCAGCTTTCAATCTCAGTAGGGTCTCCTGATTGATGATCAGTGGTTTGACAGCCATTTTGCAGGACGTGCGTATTCCTCAGCAGCTGGTTCTGTGTTGTTAAGGAGGGGGAGCAGTTTACCAACACTGTTTTTGTGTTGGTAAACATTGACCTAGTGAATACTGTGAGGCCAGGGTTAGCCACAACTGGAGCTTTTAACAAGATGCCCTGTATTGATTTGGATTTTTCTTCAGTATTATGCCCCACTATATCTTAATTTAGAAGATATTCATGACATTTGCTGACATTTAGCCCTACTGACAACTTAAATAAGCTTCTAAAAGATTGTGAATGGCTGAAACCTCCTAATGCTAAATTGTGTTAGACCACAAGAATCTCACATGCACATAATAAGGTTAATGTGGTAATGATAATGATGATGAACAGTTGGAATTAAGTTTGCCACAGAAGGTATAAATTACCTGATCATTTAGTTACTTATTAATAGTTAGGGCTAACTGTTTGACCTTATACCTCAAAATCAATGAATGTATAGCCTATATTCTTTTGAAGCTTTAATAAATTATTATTATTTTGATATACACTATGGGTAAAATGACTAAATGTTATAGGCAAGTTGTCGATCTTACTGAAAATAATCACCCAAATCTGCAGTTCTCCCAAACTCTATGGAGCATTTCATGCTCTTTCAGCTATTTGTTCAGGTTTTAGGTCCCACAACTTTACTGTTTGGCTTCCTTCTCACTGCTTTCATCAGTGTCAGACTTTTAGATGCACCAGGCATGTGATTTTAGTGAAAATGTTCTGATAAACCCACTGCATGCTGCTTGCCCAGCACCAAATGTCAAACAAACAAAGGTTGCCCTATTGACATGCATATTAACACCATTTAAAGTTGCAAACTGTCCTATTGTACGCATCAAGCAGACACAGAGCAACTTAAGCATTCATTTGGAGTCGTGTTTCTGGATAATTAATAAATATATTTCCAATAATAACTTTCATTTTTAGGTTTCTCAGTCTCTACTACCCCCTGAAAAAAATATCCACCATTTTGGCTCTTAAGCTACTAAATGCTCTACTTTGGTTACTGGTTGGTGACTCACTTTGTCTGTCTTCTGTTTGTTGCTGGCCTGGGCAGGCAGCGCACAGTGGGTTTACAGAATGAGAGCATTTAGTCATAAAAGAGATACCTTCTGCTGCTGGAAATGAAGTTGAATGAGTACAGGTAACAGGAAAAGGCCCAAGTTATAACTATCTACATGTATGGATTTGTCACTTTGAGCAGAAATGTTCACATTACACTTAAACTTACTAATTTGATTATGTCACATTTAACTTTGTGGGGGCACCGCACGCCCCCCCCCCCCCCCCCCCCCCCCCCCTGCAAGAAAAGCCAAAGGCCCCTTAACCTATTCGGGTGGCCCACGCATCCACCCCCCCCCCCAAATAACAAAATACATGCAAGTTCATGGCTACTATAGCAGACAACGTTCTTGTTGCTCTGTGTTGCGTTGTTAATGAGTGAGACACACCGGAGTTGAGGATCTGTGGGGTTTATTCTCCCAAAAATATAATTTACAATTTAGGCATTTAGCAGACGCCTTATTCCAAAGCGACTTACAA